GTGTTTAGTGTTTTGTACAGTGACCTGGAAAATGATGTGGTAGTTTGCATTTTAATGACAGGAACAACATGTCAATCTGCACCGTGGTATTGACCATTGAAATGATTATTGAAACTGCTCTGATTTCCTTTTTAGGTTGTTAGAGATTTACAGGGACATTGTGCCAACCTGATGTATCGGCACAATAATATTATGCAATCTATATCAGCATAAAATATTTCAGCATCCTTAAATAAGCAAGAAAGCTGGCTATAGTCAAATAGCAATAACGACAAACAAATAACAATTCATCCTACTAGAAATCTATTAAATGTGCTGAGAATTGTGGGAAATTCCTTTTCTAGGCTGTTTTTCCCTTCTCATTTCCAAGTACATGTAAGTAGGGATCATTTGGGATTATGCTCGACCCTTACCTGATTTCCCTGAATTAAAAAACAAAAAACAAACTTCCAGTTGTTTTAGTTGAATCATTAATGTCCGTTCCAGTTTATGTAAAATGCCAAGTAAATATACCTTGCTATCAACCACGTTTGCTACACACCCACTTTTAAGTAAGACTGATAGATATCCCAGTTTCTGTAGATCTACCAGAACATGGCATAAAGGTCTCCTGGGACAGAGTGAGACAGTAAAGAAAGATAAAATTAAAGAGAGGAGAGATTGCCAATGTCAGGAAAGCCCTGAGTCCCCATCAGGAAGCTTGGGCTTTGGTCTTCAGTGGGTGCTAATGAAGTTCTTGCAGCTTCAAGGTGGGAGAGGCTGGTAGATAGGAGAAGTCTACCTAGAATGAACTGAAAATAGTAAAGACATGAAATAGGGGGCTGGAGAGATGGCTCATTGGTTAAGAGCACTGGCTGCTCTTCCAGAAGTCCTGAGTTCAATTCCCAGCAACGACATGGTGGCTCACTACCATCTGTAATAAGGATCCAATACCCTCTTCTGGTGTCTGAAGACAGCGACAGTGTATTCATATACATGAAATAATAAATAAATCTTAAAACAACAACAACAAAGACATGAAATAGGGACAAAACTTAAACATCTCTTGAGTAATCTAGCACAAAGTGATAGGACCTTAGGGACACACAGTGCATCTAGAGGGGAAAGGAACAGGCAAGGAAAATCCTTTAAAACTCAATGAGGAGACTCCCTTGAGAAGTCAACATCCACTCCAGGCATGACTTGCTGTCTTATATGTGTCTCTTTCCCACACTTTCAAAGTTCGTGTTTAACTCTATGTTACAACCACTTCTTCTTCTTCTTCTTCTTCTTCTTCTTCTTCTTCTTCTTCTTCTTCTTCTTCTTCTTCTTCTTCTCCTCCTCCTCCTCCTCCTCCTCCTCCTCCTCCTCTTCCTCCTCCTCCTCCTCCTCTTCCTCCTCCTCCTCTTCCTCCTCCTCCACCTCTTCTTCTTCATTTATTTACTTATTTATTTCATGTATGTGAGTACACTGTCACTATCTTCAGACACACCAGAAAAGGGCATCAGATCCCCTTACAGAAGGTTGTGAACCACCATGTGGTTGCTGGGAATTGAACTCAGGACCTCTGGAAGAGCCCTCAGTGCTCTACCCCTCTGAGCCATCTCTCCAACCCCTACAACCACTTCTTAATCAACTCCAACTTAGTTCCATAAGATAATAGATAAATCAATCGTTCAAGAAAGCTTCCACATGCCTAGAGTTAGTCAGCATGAGTGTCGTCCCTGCCCCTGCTTGGTTTGAGTATGCTCTCAACTGAAGACTTCTGTAAACAAACATGCCTGTCACTGCCTTGGACATCTGACTCTGTGTGGTCAGACTGAATACACTATGTAGGACAGAATTTCCCATTCTGTGAGGAGTGCACAGGCTGCCCCTGGGTGTCAGATACGTGGCTGAACCTTCTGTACCTGCATTTGGCGTTTCTCAGCTTCTCTTCCAACTGAGGAGGCTCACTGTAAATCATGGCACCCTACATACCCTATATACCTGTTGTCACCAATGCATAGGTTGACTATACTCTTCTTGGTTTAAATTTATTTCTAAAATAAACTCAATCATTACATATTTGAAGCCTAGGAGTCCATGGATCAATAGACATTGATGTTTTTTAGTAAAACTCACTGACAAAAATTATAAGAATTAAATATTACTTGCATTAGAAATATAACTTTCACCTTTCCGAGTGACTTTTTTTTTTTTAATTTGAGGAAAACATAATTCATTTTGGCTTAGGAATTTTGCCAAGCTTTGTCTTTCCTTTTGAGAACAGAAAAATTGGCTTGGCAGTTATATAACTGAATTGTCAAATAATGTTAAATATGCACCCACACACACATATAACATACATACATACATACATATATACATACATGCATGCATACATACATATATATATATATATATATGGAATTTTGAGGCTGGAAAATGGCTCAGTGGATTAATTGCTTTTCATGTACATATGAAGGTTTGAGTTGGAATCCCCAGAATCCACATAGACATAGACATGGTAACACACGCAGTACTCCCAGGGCAAGATAGGAAACAGAGAAAAGATTATGCCAGGTAGCTCACGGGCCAGTCAGCCTAGTAAAACCTGTGACAAGGAAAACCCATTTCCAGCAAGGTGGAATACGACAGCACGGCATATTACATGACAAGGTTGCCATGTAACCTCTACATATATGCCATGATATACCTGTGCACTAGCACTCACACACACTAACACGCACACACATATGCACATATGGTACACACTGACCCTGGCCAAAGAAGCTTGTACCCCAAATAGAAGCATCAGATTTCTAATTGAAATGTTTTTAATACCATGGTGTTCTCCAAACTCTAGCTTCTAGAGCACGCAGAGAGGCGTGGAGCCCTGCCAGCACCTGGCTTTATCACAGTTTAAATGGGGTTTTAAGTGTTTGTTTCCAGGACAGCTTCTCTCAGACCAGGCACTTCCCAGTTACATTGTTTCTTTGTTCTGCCGGATGTACAAAGGATTGACTGTTTTGTTTTCTGGCTCAGAGAGATTAGATAAAGTCTGCATTTCTGAAGTTCAACCTCTAGGCACGCAACCTTAAAATTCACTTTTACGACTCATATTTTGCAGATTCTGTATGTTTAGATTATACTGGTCATAACATTTTCTTTAACTTTTCTCTGGCTTGGGAGTAGACATAGATGGCCAGACTTGTCTCTACGGAACTAGTACTGGGTGAAATGACCCCATTCACCCTTGTTCTTAAAATGCTGCTTCAGCAAAAATGTTTCCATTTGGTCCGCCATATTGTTTTTGAGGCTCCCTGGCCATTTGAAGCTCACGATGGTGATTACGCTATTCTTGCCAGGTTACTGAAAAACTTTATGTGAGGAGAAATTACCGTTTTTCCTTTTAATATGGCATCTGTTGTGTAAGATAAAAAATTTAAATAACATTTACTCTCATCACTACCCCCCAAAAACTCTAGTTTTCAGTAGAAGAAAAAAATCTATGAAAAAAACTCATCTTGGGAAGTTTTTATTTGAACTTAAGAGTCAGAAGAACTATATCCAAAATTTTACCAAGACTTTTTCTTATAACAAAAGCCATTGAAGATATTATCAGTTTAGTTTGCAAAAAACAAATTGTTTTATTTTTGCCTCCTTGTTATCAGTGATCCAGAAGAAAACATTTATTTCTTTGATAAATGAAACAGAAATAAGATTTTGTACTGAGTACCCATTACATGCTAGGTAAACTCTCCTCTGTATCTGGTTTACTCACAAGACTCCTCGGAACTCTGGCTGTATTCCACACATGACGTCTTGTTCACCCAAAGACACTCTTAAAAACTGCCTGCCCACAAATGCCATTTGAATATAGAATAAGGTTAGCTTAACTTGTTGGAGTCGTGTCCGTTCCAAACGGGTGTCTTCTTCAAATGGTACTTTTATTATAAGGTCCATAATTCTTGGTGTCATGAACAAAGCGCAGTCCATCGGGAGGTGGTCAAAGTTGAGAGGTCTGTGTAACTGTGCCACTCAAACGAATGGCCTGATGTATAAATTGCTCCCCGATGTCTCCTTCCGACCTGTGGAGCCAATACTATGCAAGATTGCTAAGTTTCTCTCAGGTCCGTGTTTCTCAGTGGCTCTACCCCCTGCATGTGAAGTAGGGACAGCCTAACTTCATACATTCCACTCCTCACTATATCTAAAGAATACTGTTGACCTTTGACCTATTTCCCAATCCCGGGATACCCTCTTCATCCTGATTCAAGTTCAATGGTTAGAAGTCTCGAGGGGGGGTGGCGAGTAGCTCCCCCAGCTGTCCCTGACTGGGAGAACTGACGAAGCTAATTGTTAGGTATAAAACCCTGTCGATCCTGCCAGCTCTGGCAACTCCAGCATGCCCCAGAAAGAAGATTTTAAAAACAGGGATATTGGTATTCCCAGCTGTTGGGAGCATCGATTTCGGTAAGGAAATCTATTTTAGGATCAATATCACATCTGTGTCTTTTGCGATTACCTAATTGCTAGAAACTATCCAAACGTATATATGTAAATGGCACCCAGCATGTACAACCCGGGAAAAAGCTGGGTACAAATTCCAAACTCCTATTATCTCCTAATAGTTTGTGTTTTCTGGTTGGAGCTTCACGGTATCGAGCCGAGTACACTGCTGCATGCCTGTCAGTGTGTCAACACATGCTGAACTTGCAAGTCAAAGGAAAAGTAGCCTTGACTGAATTTTCTAGATCAGATCTACCTTAACCAAAAGGCCTTCTCAGAGATCAGAGTTCTCGTCAGGGAGCTGTGTCTTTGCAAAATGAGGCAGAGGTTTGCAAGTACAGCAATACACCAAGGATCCCCACCTCACCCTCACTCCCACCTCCCACCCCCTACCCTTCTACCCCTTACCCCTCAACCCCAGCAGGAGATTCTTCATATTTTTAAGGAACCTGAAAGGGGCTGCAGCAGCAGCAGCAACACCTATTTTCAATGGGCTCACGCTGTCTTCTCTTTGATGCCATTTGCAGATCCCTCGCCCCCTGCCAGGTTTGAAGTCAACCCTGAGAGGATCACCTCAACCACCCTGCAGGTTCGGTGGACTCCGTCTTCTGGAAGAGTCACCTGGTATGAGGTGCAATTGTTTGATCATAACAATCAAAAGATACAAGAAGTCCGAGTTCAAGAAAGTACCACGTGGAGCCAATACACTTTTCTGAACCTCACGGCGGGGAACAACTACAAAATGGCCATCACAGCCGTTTCGGGAGAAAAACGCTCCTCTCCTGTGTATACCAACGGATCTACAGGTAAGACTGGTGTTGTCTGTGGTTAAGGGTCAGCAGTATCTTTTTGTCTTTTTCTTCTTTTTAATGGTACTGGGGAGAATGAAACCTCAGAGACTCATGCGTGCTGGGCAAACGCTCCCCTCCTCTGGCGATTTCAAAATTATCTGCTATTCAAGAAACAAGAAAATGCCACCCATCATAAGTGAATAATGTTGATAATATGTTAAGAGGATATTTAATAGAGAGAGAAGACTGGGCTGACTGACATAGGATGTGTGAATGTGTCGCTACATTGCTAGGTGATTTCGAACAAGTCAGGAGATTTCTCTAAGAGCGGAATTTTCTCTGATTTAAAATAGATACTCCTTACAGGTCTGTCTAATTCAAACCCAGGAAAATGAAATTTTTCATTTCCCAAATTTGTGTCACAGAATTTATTTTTCATCTTTTGTATATTCTCGTAATATCAAGTTATGATGTCTTCTAAATGCCCCTGGGTTTAAAATAGGGTTTTTTTTTTTGCTTCTTGGCAATGTTGGAAAATAAGTCCTTTGACGTCCCCGTGTGTCATATCCCTCCCAGGAGATGCGTGGCTTCCCTGTCACTGACCCCTCACTCATTTTATCTGGCCATTTCTATCTCTTTCTATCTTCATCTCCCAAAATTTATTCCTTTGTCTTTTCTATTTATTATTTCTTGTCATGTCGTACTACACTGCATAGGAGACACCTGCCTTCATCGCTAGAAAACAGGAGAGATAAACAAGCCATGTGTGATATCCCTTTAGCTCATAAAGCCTGTGGACTTTATAAAGATGGTTAACGAATGTCCCAGTGAACTGTCAAGGAGCCATTACTGAGTATTGCTATGATCCAAGTTAAACTATAGAGAAGAGTATAAATAAATGTATAAATGAAAGAACTATCTCTTGTCTTCTATAAGGGGACTATGAATGACCTTGCAGCCGTGTGTTTTCATCCCACTAGTACCATCTCCAGTGAAAGATCTTCGAATTTCTCCCAGTCTTAATTCTCTCCTAATTTCCTGGTCTCGTGGTTCTGGGAATGTGGAACACTACAGGCTGGTGCTAACGGGTAAAGGGGCCATCGTCCAAGACACGAACGTGGACAAGCGTGATACTTCCTATGCTTTTCACGGGCTAACCCCTGGTCGACTCTACAACCTCACTATTGTCTCCATGGCCTCGGGACGACAAAACTCCACGTGGAAACTGGCGAGGACCGGTAAGTTCCTCCTCTTTGCTAAACAAGAGCAAAGTTCAAATCGAGTTTAAATCCGGTTTGCTATCTGAATAATGGTACAGTAGGACAAACTGAAATTCATGTGACCTATAGAAAGACTTTAACGTATATCCATCTTCATGAAGAAAAATGAATCGCTTTTATTCTAAAGTTGAAGCTAGCCCTTGGCAACATTTTGAAGCAAAGTCGCTGATGTCGTTTAAACTTTTTTCCATTTAATACACACCTGAAGTTCCCTGGCTCTGGCTCTTAAGAAGGCATCTTGTATCTTTGTGAGCACCTACAGTGAGTTTGGAGTGCTTTTCTTAATGCTATATAGAGACATGTTCTTGTGTGACAGTCATTTCTAAAACCCTCCACCCAAGAAAACATGACATGGGACCCAGTTGCTCAGCCTAACCTAAACTGAAAGAAAAAAAAAATTGGTTCTACTTAGAAATGAATTGTTCATTCACTGATTCATCCAGACTATTCTTCCTGAGTGTTGGGTATAAGTCAAGGTTAGTACCAATCAAGATAGACAATGTCAGAGCCCTCCTGGAACTTAGGTTCAAATGTTCCTGATTTATATAATGTATTCATAAACATCTCTTTGTAAGTTATCTAATTTTATAGTAAGGTGTAAAATAGGTAATGCCTTTGAAATTGTTCTAGTGGGGGAGAATATCTGCCAACTATAGGAAGCTAAGGAGAGCGATATTGGAGACTGCTACATACACATATATCTCTTATTACACACTTCAGAAATATGTAGATGTACTTAAGAAAGAAGCACAAGATATCACAAGAAAATAAAGCCAGGTGCACACCTGTAATTCCAGCACTTGGGAAGCTGAGGGAGAAGAATCATAAGTTTGAGGATAGACTTGATTATATAGCAAGTCCTAGGCCATCTTGGATGAGAGAGAGAGAGAGAGAGAGAGAGAGAGAGAGAGAGAGAGAGAAACAAAGATAGACACAGACACAAATATACAAAGAGAGATTCAGAGAGAGAGAGAGAGAGAGACAGAGACAGAGACAGAGAGACAGAAAGAGACAGAAAAACAAAGACAGACACAGAGACATAATGAGAGATTTAGAGAAAGAGAGAGAGACAGAGACAGAGAGAACAAATTACCCTTCTGAGCATCCTGTGTAAAATCACTGTGCTATGTATGCTCAGTCTTCTAGGGAAATGGTATTAATTTGTATTACACCATCAGGCATAGTTACAGCATGTGTAAGAGGTAGGAGAAATATCCATCAAACTTTATCTCTTCTCATGACTTTTCCTTTGATGAACGAGCAACACGGCTCTTTAACTTTATCATGACTTAATATAAAAAGCATTTCAATGGATTGGAGAGATGGCTCAGCTGCTAAGAGTGCTTACTGCTCTTCCAGAGTTTGGCTGCTAGCACCCTCACTGGGCAGCTCACACCTGTCTGTAACGCCAGCTCCCTGTAACCAATGTCCTCTTCTGGCATCTGTGTGTGCACACTTGCACATATGTGACACACAAACTCACACACACACACACCCTTTGAAAAGTATTTAAACACGCAAATTTGCACAACTACCAACTAATCAACCTACTTAGAACTTAGTTGTTTAAATAAGTAAACATCCGGACACACTCACAAAGAAATTAAGTCAATGGAAGACCTCATTGTAAATTCTGGCTAAAGGATCCCAGAGCTGTGAAGGGATACAGACAATCTTCTAACCAAACTTTATTTGCTAGTAAGCATCAAGGCATAGTGAGACTGGCAGAGAAATGCCCAGGATCCTGTGAGCAGCTTGCGAGTCCCACCAGAATCCAGGCTGTAGACTACAGGATAGCTCTCTTACCACGGCACAGTCTTTCTTGGATTTCCAGTAACGTTTTGTCTCTCAAGTGATTTTTCTCTTGATCAAAGATTATGTCCTGTAGACATTAAAGTTTAGATCAAAACGAGGCCAGATGAAGGGGAGGGATGAGGAGTAAATTCTCTTTTCCATTCTTTGCTGATTAGCTCCTATGGAAGTCTCAAATCTGAAGGTGACAAATGACGGCAGTATGACCTCTCTAAACGTGAAGTGGCAGAAACCTCTTGGGGATGTGGATTCCTACAGCATTACCCTGTCTCACCAAGGGACCGTCAAGGAATCCAAAACATTAGCATCTCGTGTTACTGAAACTCAGTTTAAGGACTTAGTCCCCGGCCGGCTTTACCAAGTTACCATCAGCTGTGTCTCTGGTGAACTCTCTGCTGAGAAGTCGGCGACGGGCAGGACAGGTGAGTCGGCCTCTGGAATCGTCTCTGGTTGCCTCAATCATTCTCAGATATAGCTCAGAATAGGACAAAATCATGGAGAAAGGGCCTTCTTTTCCTACCTGAGAAGTAGAGTTTTTATGACCAAGAATGTCCCTGGAATAGAACCGACACACAGAATCAAACAGAGGCTTTAACTACATACATTGTGTCATTTAAGCAAATGTGCTTGAGTTCCTGTGTCATCTGCAGGTTGTCCCTGTTTTCTGCTTTCTCATGCCCCATCACCTAAGTATCACAAATCCACTATCACCAATGCCAATGAAGAAAACATTTCTGCTTCATTCTTATAATAAGGCCAACTTAGCATTTCATGGTGTTTCCCATAAATAATTTTATTCATTTATGCTAATGAACACTTATCTCTTTCTTTACTTGAATAAATTACTGTACTATGAACCTTGCACCTTATTAAAATGGTCATGGTGTACCATTGCTTTTAAGACAAGGTTCTGCAAAGTACACCCTGTGGGCAAGCCCACTTCGTGGCTTGGATTTGTATTTCTAAAACTAAAAATATAACCTTTCAGGGGTCATTTATGTAGTGCAATAAAGGATTATTTGCTGACTTTTGCTTAATAGATACTACATTTTATCCAAAGACGTAACACACACACACCAAGAATAGTGTCCTTTAAAAATGCCAATGGCATTGACAATTTCATGTGTCGGACCCTGTGCAAACACTTTAAACCTACTTCATGTATTTATTGCAAGAAGACTGTAAGCTAAGAGCTATGCTGTTAGCACAGACTTTGTGCAGATAAGCTGAAATAATTGAATAACTTATTCATGGCCATCTGGCCAGGAACGTACTGGAACTTGAATTCAAGGGAGGTGGTTCAATTTGAGTCCAGTCTCAGTGTCGTTAGAGACCTCAAGTAAGAGCGATATGGTCAGAAAAGACCAAGAGCAATATTCTCTTCCAGAAGAGCAGTAGACTCTTGGGTGTGATGGCCTTGCAGGGGAACCTAGAAAGAATGAACTTCCTGGGAAATGGAATGAGAAAGAAGAAATGTCTGTGTGAGTGAACAGTTGGAACAGAGGCTCAGAGGTGGAAGAGCTCAGCTGTGCAGCATCCACTCCTGAACACACTGAAAAGGAAAGGGAAGGAGGGGCCGTGGCTACAGAGTGGCGTCAAAGGGGCCGCCTAGGAGGAGAGCAGGTCTAAACTTGAGACACAGATGTAAGCGAAGGACTCAAGTTTTGTTTGGTGGTTTTTGAAGAGATTCTGTTTGCTCTCAAACCCTGCCCAAAGTCATATGCATGAAGTTTGTTCTTTCCAGTGGGAATTTAAATAAATGAGGATGCTTCACCACCACAACAGACAGTATCTTTTTCAAAAGGTATCACATTTGCCAGTGTCACCATCAGGAGATACACTGTCAGTATATCTCCAGGGCCGGCAGACAAGCAGTGAAAGGCAACAGTCACAATGCTACCCTGTGAACAGTGTGGCAAGAGACTACATACCCTTATTGAAATAATTTTCACATGCATTTCTTTTTCTTGAATGTTAAATGTTTTCAAAATTAAGGGGTGGAGGGAGAGAGAGAGAGAGAGAGAGAGAGAGAGAGCTCACCTGATGTACACAGATATCCAAAGGCAATTCAAATGTGTTCAATAGCAAACACTGTGTTCTCTATATTGCTTCCCATAAAAAGCAAACGAATATTCTTAATTTTTTTTGTTTTGTTTTGCTTTCAATACCTTCTCGTGTCCTTGTTTAGTTCCAGAAAAAGTGAAGAACCTGGTTTCCTACAACGAGATTTGGATGAAGTCCTTTGCGGTGAACTGGACGCCCCCTGCTGGAGATTGGGAGCATTATCGCATCCTGCTCTTCAATGAGTCCGTGGTCCTTCTCAACACCACAGTGGGAAAGGAAGAAACACACTATGCCCTGGACGGCTTGGAGCTCATACCAGGAAGACAGTATGAGGTAGAAGTCACTGTTGAGAGCGGAAATCTGAGGAACTCCGAGCGCTGCCAAGGCAGAACAGGTAAAACAAGCGCGATTGGCAGAACTTAATTCATTCCCTGCTTCATAGAACCACGGATGTTTAATTTCTGTACTCTCTAAAGGTGAGCTATTATTACAAGGCTAACAGGGTTTCAAACATTTAATTTTGTCAGTTTTGAACATCAAGCCTCCTTTCCACTGGTAACTATCATTTCATGAAAGAAAAGACATTTCAAAGATTTATTTTTATGCCGGGTGATGTCGGACACGGCTTTTTAATCCCAGGCAAAGAAGGAGGCAGGCAGCCTGGTCTACAGAGTGACCAGCAGGGCTACACAGAGAAACTCCTGAATTTAAACTGTGTGTTGAGGGAGGCCGTGGCCGCGGTGAGGTGGGAGGACAGGGAAGGGAATCGGGGGCATTGGTATGTGCCAAAATCCAGCAGAGGGCAGAGGCTCCCATAGAGCTGGCATTACAGGCACTTGTGAGATGCTCAACATGAGTGCTGGGAACTAAACCCAGGTCCTATACCAGAGCAGCAAGCACTCATACATAACCACTGAGCTATTTCTTTAGCCCTGAGGAAAGACATTTTAGATGCTGCCAAAACCACAGAAAAGATACAATCTGAGAGTAAAAACCAATCTTTCAAAGAGCATTGGTAACCAAGTTTCCACTGCCTTGACCTAATATCGACTAGCTGAAAATTTCCGTACAGGGTAGGGTGATTGACGTCCTGTTTGAATGGCAGGAAAGGGTGGGTTAGGATCCATGGATTCTGATCATTCTGCTGTCCCCATTACATTGCAATTTCTTTAGCAAATCACAAACACCGGAACCTGTTTTTCTCAACGTTCAAGTATGACCGTTATCCTCCAGCATTTCTATGATGATGCAGAACAGACCGTAATTAAAGTGAACTCGATCTCCCGTAGTCCTGCCTGATAAAGAAATGACTGCACTGGCTCAGTGTTCTTGAGAGAATGCCAGAGAGGATGTCTGTGGTAGCCCCTTCACGCACCACCTGTATCTCTCAGTGATCTTTTCGTCCTCCAATACTAACGTCAAGGGGGTGATGCTCAAAGTCCTAGCCAGCTTAAGCCAAGGCACTGTCAGGACTCACAGTACATGTGTCTTTCTTGTCCCCCAGTATTTTACCAGTCACCTCAAACAACCTGGAAATGTAAGCTGAATGAAAAGTTGGGTCACACTGTCATGGTTTGAGTATGCCTAGCCCAGGGAGTGGCATTATTTGGGAGTGTGGCTTTGTTGGAGTAGGTGTGTCTCTGTGGGAGTAGGCTTTTAGTTCTCTGCCTGGAAGTAGTCTTCTAGAGCAGCCTTCAGATGAACATGTAGAACTCTCAGTTCCTCCAGCACCATGCCTGCCTGTATACTGTTATGTTTCCACCTTGATGATAATGAACTGAACCTCTAAACCTGTAAGCCCAGCCCCAATTAAATGTCCTTATAGGACTTGCCTTGGTCATAGTGTCTGTTCACAGCAGTAAAACCCTAAGACACACCCTATTGGCACAATTCTGAAGTGAACCCTCCCTCCCCAGGCTCCAACTTTGATTTTTATTTATTTCATGCTGAATTTGCTTTCAGATTATAATATTTTTTCCTTCGGTTTCTAATGTGCAGCTTCATCTTCTAGCTTAGAAACAATTGTTCCTTCCCGATAAGGTTCACATCCACTCTGCTGGAGGGGTCAGAGAGCTGGATCTCAGCCCTGCATATGTAGCAGGGCATTGTAAGTGCTTTGCTCGCCCGAGAGTCTACCGCAAAACCCTTAACTGTCTCTCAGCCTGCATTTTAAAGCTTGAACAAAGCAACTCAACACTGTTTGGGGGCTACTGGCCCAGTGCCCCGCCCCCACATACCTGTGCAAGCTAAAAGGGCTGACCCTGCTTCTTTAAAAATGTCATCTTTCAGATTCTTGGTGACATTTTTCAGGAACACAGGCATTTGATAGCCTGGGAGGTTTTGCAGATGTCCTTTGAGTGGATGCAGAAAGTTAGAACCCCTTGATTTGTGTATATTTTTTTTTCTAGATTTTCTGGTTCATTAGAATAGCAAACCATTTTCACAGGTCACCTAGGGGTCATTTTACTACCACACTGGCAGGTGATGCACAAAGTACCTTGAGGTAGATCTTGATACATAAAATCATTGGTTTTCTTTTTTTTACATTGATGAAAGATTCAGTGGCCCATTACCACAAAACTTCAGAAAATCTCAAATCAAACTTTAATTTTATACAGCCGACTCTTATAATGTGGCTTGCCATTGTTTTGTGGGGGTCATTATTTTGCTGTTAGCAATGTCTTGGAGAAATTATAATGATAATGCCTTTTAAAGAAGAGGAGTAGCCAGCTGGGGGTGGTGGCACACGCCTTTAATCCCAGCACTTGGGAGGCAGAGGCAGGTGGATTTCTGAGTTTGAGGCCAGCCTGGTCTACAAAGTGAGTTCCAGGACAGCCAGGGCTACACAGAGAAACCCTGTCTCAAAAAAAAAAAAAAAAAGAAAGAAAAAAAAAAAGAAGAGGAGGAAATCAAGATTCCTTTAAGATAAGGGCTGCCCTTTCTACGACTGTAACTATCGCTCTCCAATTGTCTCCTCTTCGTGGCACAGCATGGTCCCCTCAGAAATAAACGGAGGAGCAATTGGTCTTTCTGAAGTTTGAGAGCAATAAATACTTCTCTCTCCACTCAAATACGCAAGCATAACCTATTCTTTTTAGTTTTGTGGGTCATGGGATTTTTAAAAATTATTTTCAAAACAATGACCCACAAGAAGAGAGGATCTCCCGGCTAGCGACATGGCTGGACGGTTAAGACCACTCCCAACTCCTGTAGAGGCCAGAACGGGTAGAAAAGAGTAGCTCTCTAAAAACGCCTAATGGTTGTGACTGAACCAATGACCCCAAGTCTCAATTGATTTTTTCCTCAGTACCCCTGGCTGTCCTCCAGCTTCGTGTCAAACACGCTAACGAAACTTCACTGGGCATCACGTGGCGGGCCCCTCCAGGCGAATGGGAGGAGTACATCATTTCGCTGATGGACAGAGAGCTCTTTGTAATCCACAAGTCACTCTCCAAAGATGCCAAAGAATTCACGTTTACAAACCTGATGCCTGGACGGAATTACAAGGCTACCATCACTAGTATGAGTGGAGATTTAAAACAGTCATCTTCAATCAAAGGAAGAACGGGTAAAGGCACTCACAAATTTTACATTTGACAATGGGCTATCCACAGAAATTTGCAACTATCCATTAAGTGCCTGCCAAGCCTATTATGTACTCGGCAGGACATTATGAACCTTCCTATCGTATTTCCTACTTTACCACAGTTCTTCTTTTGCTTAGGTGTATTTTACTCATTGAAAAATATTAGAGAGTAAGATTGACATGAAGTTCTATCTGCAGAAGAGAAGGAAGAGATGGGACACTATTGAGAACAGGGAGTGTGATAGAAAGTATTATTTTTAATTATTAAAAAAGCAGGATACTTTATGTGGATTATAATTTCTAAAGGAAGGGAGAATATTGACATCATCAGGAGAGGGGTGAGGGATGTGGGATCTATACACATCTCCTTCTTTTGGAAGGAGAATTGATAATTTAACATCAGAGTCAGCAGGGCAGGGGACAGGGAGTTTGTGAGTGCCAATGCCACCAGGTAGAAGGATGCTGTGCTGAGCCCCGCTCTAAAAATTGCTGCCCATTTCTCACTGATGTGAGAAGCCACATCCTCATCAAGGCAGGCATTAGCAGTGTATAAGCTCTGGATAGCCCGGACTGTCTCTCTCCTTCCTCAACTTTTTAAAATATGTATGAGTGATTGTCTGTGTGTACCTACGTGTGCTATCATGAGTGTGCCCGGTACCCATGGTGGCCAGCAGAGAATGTCCTATCCCCAGGACCAGAGTTACAAAGAGTTGTGAGCCAGATCCACCGTGTGGATGCTAGGAAATAAACCCAGGTCCTCTGCAAAAGAAGAAGCAAATGTTCTGAACCGCTGGGTCGCCTACCCAGCTCTTCTATCTCTCCCTGTAAATTCTACCTCCCCAAAATACGGTTTTGTGAAGTCGTGCAGTCTTTGGCTTTTCTTCCCACTTACCACCTGTTTGTCCTCCGTCCCTGTGTTCTGGAAGCTTCACATCAGAGGGTTTTCCTTCGTCTGGAAGGTCGTTCTTTAAATTCTTTATTGAAAAGGTCCTAGGGACAAACTCTCTCCACTTTTCCTTTTATTTCTGGGCGTGTCTTTTTATAGCTCTTGGTTTTACACAGCGGTTTCCTATGTTTTTGTCTTTTGCTGAATGATATTTTCTATAAGGGCACTGGGAATATTCTCCTAGCCTCTCTGGCACTTACTGTCTCCACTGAAAAGCAGGCCTCCAGGGTAATTCTTGCTTTCTTGTGAGGAGCCTGTTTAACATGGCTGCTCTAAGCACCTCTCCCCCTGTTCCTCTGTTCCACAGGGACAATCTAGGTACAGAAATCCTTTTGCTCATTTCCCTGCGATTTCTTGGGATGTCTGTTCTTTCAGATTAGCGCCTTTTCTCAATCCTGCACATTTTCAGCCGTTAACTCTCCAGTTTTGCCTCTTGACTCTTTCCCGTTCCCCATTTGTAAGAGACACAATCCCATGTATTTGCTTTCTGGTCTGCAATCGGCTTGATTTCTTCAGCTGTTTGTTTCGGCTCATCAATTCAGCTCTGTCTCACTGTTAAAACCTCTTATAGTTCTCACTGTCAAATAGTTTCTGGTTTTTCTCCCAAGTCTATATATGTCCTTTTGTTCTTGGTTAAGTGTATACCCACACACATTCACAAGCATAGACACACACTCACGTACACATACATATACGCACACTCACACACTCACACACACATACACACTCACACACAGACATACACTCACACACACAGGTTGAGCAAGTCACACACTTACACACACACACACTTACAAACATACACACAGGTTGAGCATGAGTTTCATGACTAAGCTATACCCCAAGACCTTTAGATATGTTTTAACTGTATTCTTTTATAACTGTATCTACACTTAAATGTTTGCTTTGTGTTCTGTCCAGTCATTAGGCTGAAATCTGAAGTCTTCAGCAGTTAAAGACTATTTTTGTCTCTTGATTTTTTTTTCCTGTTATTTGATTGTGTTGCTTTATTTCTTTAAATGTTCCTCTTTTTTTCTCTAGGGTTATATTCCCTGGAATCTTCTGTAAGAACTCTATAAGGCATTCTTACAAGATGCCCTTCGCATTTCAGAAAGAATTCTCTTTTGCTTCTTCCATGTACTTAGGACTGTTGTCAACTCAGACCTAGTTAAATATAATTAGTTTGAGGGTTTTGAACACACACATTTTGTAAGCACATGACAAGTATCTCAAGGTTAAAAATTCCCCAGAAAGTTTGGGTTTTAGATCAAGGGCAGAGACTTTCCCAGGATATATAAAGTACACAAACACACACACAAATAACCCTCAAAGAAAATTGCTCTCTCCAGCAGATATTAAGAAGGTTCAATGGGATGGAGAGTAGAGAAGAATAAACTTGCAGGATGCAGTTCTGTGTAGCCTCAGCCGTCAGCTTCTCAGCCTGGGGGGTGTTTTACACTTTACCCCCCATCTCCAAGATCCTGCAGTACCATAAAATCAAAGTGTGCATTCATGTCTGAAACACACGCCTATGGCAGCAGTTCGCCTCAGTAATCCAATGGGCTGCCGCTCATTTACTGGCCTCTGAGAATTCCTTCCTTCCTTCCTTGACAATATATTGCTCCATTTGTTTTTATTTTTATTCAATATGTGGGATATGTTTATTGGGGTGATTTTTCACGGTAATAATCTAGCATGCTGCTGGAAATGAAAGCCCGGGGCATTGTTTCAGACATAATATTCTCATCCATCCTACCATTCATACTGTTGGGTGACATTATAAATGTAGTATAGCATTTGTTTAACTTTGTGTAAGGAACTGTTGGTGTCTTTCCTACAGCAATTAAAACATTTACTTTCAAAAACAACAACAACAACAACAAACCCAAACATTTACTTTCTTGTGTTTTGAGATGGGGTTCTCACTACTGGTGCCTCAAACCCCTGGGTTCAAGTGTTCCTTCTGTCCCCATTAGGTGGCTGGGACTCTAGGCATTTGCCACCATGCCCAGCTAGAGTATTAGAGTATATATATATATATATATATATATATATATATATATATATATTTCAGTAAACAATGTATTAGAGCTCCAGACAGCACTTGGCATTGTCTGTCTCTGTGCCCGTTTACTTTAAAATTCAGCCATTCCAGTAGACGTGTGGGTGGGATCTCACGTCTAACGGCTTGAGAACCCTTTCCTACGCCTGTTCACGGTTGTCTCCTTTTGGAAAGTTTATGGTCAGATATTTTGCTCATTGTCCAATACCACTGTTAGTTTTCTTAACAATTCTGTATGCATATGTGTGTGGTATACACATGTGCGAGCTCACACTGAAGCCGGTACATGCCTGCATATGTTGTATGCACATGCGCGCGCAAGTGGAAGCGGATACACTCACTGACACGAGTGACTGGATGGAATCCAGAGGTTGATACTAGGATGTCATCTTTTGTCTATCAGTTTTCCACTCTTTTTAAATTTTAAAACTGTCTGTTTGTTTTTCTTTCTGAGTTTGTGGGCATACGCATACTGTAGCACATGTAAGGGAATCAGGTGACAATTCCTGGGAGGCAGTGCTCGCTCCTTGTACCACGTGAGTCTCAGGGACGGAACACAGTTCATCCGGCCTGGCAGCAAATGCATTAACCTGCTGAGAATTCCTTCTGTCTCGCCAGCCCACACTTGATTTTTAAAGACGGGTGTCTCAGTAAATCTGAAGCTTATGGCTTCAGCTGGACTGGCCGGCCAGAGAACTCCCAGGATACTCTAGCCTCAGTCTCCAGCCCTAAGGTTACAGGAACGCGCATGCGTCACTTTGCCTGCCTTTCGCAGGCGGACTAGGATACCCTTTCGGGTTCTGAGGTTTGTCCAGCAAATACATAACCCACTGAGCCATCTCTCCAGCCCAACGAAGAAACGTTTTGAGACTTCTTGATTCTTACACACAATTTAGAAATGTATATTGAAAAATATTCTAATGTGTGGCTTCTTTGTTGAAATTATTGAATCGAATGTGTTTCGGTGAGTAGCGGTGCTTGATTTTGACATCTGACTGATAAGATCTCTCGTAGACAACACTCTTGGCATCACACCTCAAACCTCTTTGCTTAATGAAGGGCTACAGAGACTCTTCCTTGGAAGACTTTTAGCTTTAGAATTCATATGTGTATATGTGTATATATATATATAGTCCAATACCCACATGCACACACACATATATATCACTCAAAGACAGCTTAGTTTATTTATATATAATGCATATATATTTTATGTTTCATCTATTCTAATAAAATACTTCTATGATCTATTTTATACACACATATATAGATAGATAGATAGATAGATAGATATTATATGTGCTAATATATATAATATATATTCATTCATCTTTTCCTGAACTTCCAATTCTGTTCCATCCACTTATATTTCTGCCTGTCCTAGGCCCGTTTTATTCATAATGTCCTGATTACTATAACTTTCTAGTAAAATTGGCTATTTGCCCTTCACCTTTGTTTATGTAGTTAGTGTGAGCAGAGGCGATGTTTTTGGTTTTGTTTCGTTTTGTTTTAACTCTTTGATAGCTGTTGCTCCTTTACTTCCTGTATAGAATTTTTAATCAGATGGTTCTACTGAACTACGCATGGTTTCATTTTTAGTGAATATATTCTCATCTTGATCCAAAGCTTAATGAACTTTAAGGAGGGGCCCACTGAAGCTCTGATGATTTTGATTCAAGAAAGGAGCACAAAGAAAATCCAGTCTCTGTGGTCACTAACTAATGGATGGGTTAGAAATGCCAATAGGTGATAATTAGAAGGTCACAGGCTTAGCGGGGAGAGAGCTCTAGCTCGGATATCTGGCTAATTATTTGTCAAGCTGTGGTGTAAGCTAAAAAGCTTATATTCTCTCATCTTTGACTCTCGTTAGTAAAGGAAATATGAAATCAACTTTATAGACACTTCCGAATAGTAGATAATCTGATCTCTAGAATGTCTTCTGCTCTAACCGAAAGATGGCAGGCATTCAGTACTTATTATAATTACCAGTACTATAATTGTATATCTTACATAGCACATATTATCATGGAATATTGAGAAACGACCAGCTTGCTAATCCATAGCCTAACCACCGGCTTGACAATATATCCCTGTTGCCACCCTGAAACAGCCATTGGCTTGGGTAGGTGGTATGGTTTTGTGTTCTTGTAGAATAAGTACGGATAAACTCATATTAAATAAAAAATTTTTTTAAAGCATCAGTCTTTATTAGGAAAAATTCAAAGCCAAAGCTGGTTAGTAAGCATTGTCTCACTGCAGACCTGAACCGGCTTTGATTAACTGAAAGCTGATGTAGAGGCAGCTGTTTAAAGTGGATGAATCCTGTAGAAGAGCAAGTACCCCAAGATACAGGGTAAAAAGCTCGTGGCAAAACCAAAGAAAACATGTTGTCCATCATCGTTGTCGTTGCCATTTGTAGTGTTTCAATCCTTTTTGACCCTTTATTCTTACACTGCCTTGGATGACTAAGCATGTGTTCTGTCCTCTCTCTTCTGCACTGTAGTGCCTGCCCAAGTGACCGACTTGCATGTCAGCAACCAAGGGATGACCAGTAGTCTGTTCACTAACTGGACAAAGGCATTAGGGGATGTGGACTTCTACCAAGTTCTACTGATCCATGAAAACGTGGTCGTCAAAAACGAGAGTGTTTCCAGTGACACCAGCAGGTACAGCTTCCGCGCTCTGAAATCCGGCAGCCTCTACTCCGTGGTGGTGACCACAGTGAGTGGAGGGATCTCTTCCCGGCAGGTGGTGGCAGAAGGAAGAACAGGTAAGAAATGCAGATAGGTGATTGTGACTTACAGATATTCCAGTATATGGAATTTTTAAGTATCCTAAAGGCAGGCCTCTTTGTTTCCTTCCTGTAAGTTGTTTTCCTTTAAATTTTCGTTTTATTTTTCCATTAAAGTAAAGAAGTAATGAACTATCTTCCACACACAGAGTCTTATTTTCAAGACATAGAAGCAAGATGATATCCACTTTACAAGGTCAAAATTGAGTTGATATGGCCATCTTGCCAAAAGCAATCTATAGATTCAATGCAATCCCCATTAAAATCCCAACTCAATTCTTCACAGAGTTAGAAAGAGAAATTAATTTGGAATAACAAAAGACCCAGGATAGCAAAAACTATTCTGAACAATAAAAGAACTTCTGGAGGAATCACCACCTCTGACCTCAAGCTGTATTACAGAACAATAGTGATAAAAACTGCATGGTATTGGTACAGAGACAGGCAGGAAGACCAATGGAATAGAACTGAAGACCCAGAAATGAACCCACACTCCTATGGTCACTTGATCTTTGACAAAGGAGTTAAAACTGTCCAATGGAAAGAAAAAAACAGCATTTTCAACAAATGGTGCTGGTTCAACTGGAGGACAACATGTAGAAGAACGCAAATTGATCCATTCTTATCTCCTTGTACAAAGCTCAAGTCCAAGTGGATAAAGGACCTTCACTTAAAACCAGATACACTGAAACTAATAGAAGAGAAGGTGGGGAAGAACCTCGAATACTTGGGCACAGGGGAAAAGTTCCTGAACAGAACACCAATGGCATATGCTCTAAGATCAAGAATTGACAAATGGAACTTCATAAAATTGCAAAGTTTCTGTAAGGTGAAGAACATGTCAATAGGACAAAACCGCAACCAACAGATTGGGAAAAGATCTTTACCAATCCCATATCCGATAGAAGGCTAATATACAATATACACAAAGAACTCAAGAAATTAGACTCCAGACAACCAAATAACCTTATTTTTTAAAAAGGAGTATAGAGCTAAACAAAGAATTTTCAACTGAGGAAACTCGAATGGCCGAGAAACACCTAAAGAAATGTTCAGCATTCTTAGTCATCAGGGAAATGCAAATCAAAACAACCCTGAGATTCTACCTCACACCAGTCAGAATGGCTAAGATTAAAAACTCAGGTGATAGTAGATGCTGGTGAGGATGTGAAGAAAGAGGAACACTCCTCCATTGTTGGTGGGATTGCAAGATGGTGCAACCACTTTGGAAATCAGTCTGGTGGTTCCTCAGGAAATTGGACATAGTACTATCTGAGGACCCAGCTATACCACTCCTGGGCATATACCCAGAAGATGCTCTAACATATCACAAGGACATTTGCTCCACTATGTTCATAGCAGCTTTATTTATAATAGCCAGAAGATGGAAATAATCCAGATGTCCTTCAACAGAGGAATGGATACAAAAAAATGTGGTACATTTACACAATGGAGTATTACTCAGCTATTAAAAACAATGAATTTGAGAAATTCTTAGGTAAATGGATGGAACTAGAAAATATCATTCTGAGTGAGGTAACCCAATCACAAAAGAACACACATGGTATTGACTCACTGATTATTGGATATTAGCCCAGAAGCTTGAAATACCCAAGATTCAGCTCACAGACCACATGAAGCTCATGAAGAAGGAAGACCAAGTTGGGGTGCTTCGGTCCTTCTTAGACAAAGTAACAAAATACTCAAGGGAGCAAATATGGAGACAAAGTGTGGGACAGAAACTGAAGGAGGGGCCGTCTGGAGACCATTCCATCTGGGTATCGATCCCATGAGCAGTCACCAAAGGTAGACGCTGATGTGGATGTCAGGAAGTGCATGCTGACAGGAGCCTGATAGCTGTGTCCTTAGAGGTCTGCCAGAGCTTGACATATTTAGAGGCAGATGGTCACAGCTAACCGTTGAACTGATCAACGGGTTCCCAATGGAGGAGGTAGAATGAAGACTGAAGGAGCTGAAGGTGTTTGTGGCCCCATGAGGAGAGCAACAGTACCAACCAACCAGGGCTCCCAGGGTCTAAACCACCAGCCTGGGAGCATATAGGGAGGGACCCATGGCTCCAGCTGTATATGTAGGGGAGGATGGCCCTGTCAGGCAAAGGTGGGAGAGGAGATCCTTGGTCCCATGAAGGCTGGACGCCGTGTGTGGGGGAATTCGAGGGTGGGGAGGTGGGAGTGGGGGAGTAGATGGGGACACATCCTCATAGAAGCAGGAGGAGGGGGGATGGGATAGAGGGTTCCTGGGTGGTGGGGGGGGATGGAGTAAGGGGATAACATCTGAAATGTAAATAAAATATCCAATAAAAATAATAATAAAAAGAATAAGTATTTAAATTGGCCATTGATTGAACAAAAAAAATGAGTTGATATAATTCTCAGGTGGCATATTTAGAGTCTTGCTATGTTGCCCAAGTTGGCTCTAAACTCTTTGGCTTCTACCAGCCTCCTGCCTCAGCCTTTCCAGTAACCAGGACGACTGCAATATAAAATGTGCCCCTATAAAAGTCAGACGTATATATTGTAAGCAGCAGCATCGAAGGCTCAGTGTTGTTTACCACCTAAACAATGCTTCTGACCTTCTATGTTCCTACTTAAAATAGACTATGACCTAAGACGACAAATAAATGTCATCGTGGCTATTTTGTCAGAGAGGCTCGGCACCAGAAAAGGAAGTAGGATTTTTATACAGAATCCACTGAAAGTACATAACTTATTATTTCATACAATATGTGAAATTTATGTTGCAAGTTTCCTAGGGAAAAAAACACACAAGCCCAACCAAAGCTCTGATAGCTACGGCTAAACTCAGAATCGGGTCAATAAACTTGACCTCTTACTGTTATGTAATTATTATTATAAGTTGGGTTCAGGGTTCTCCATCTATAAACCCAACACTCTGATATTAGCTACCAGTTGTGCTGCCGTGAAAAAAATTTCTTTCCAAAATCACAATCTCACCTACTTCATTAACCCTGAAAACACCGCTTTCTTTAGCTCTCGGAGGAGGGGCTAAGAAACTGAAGCCAGGGTTCTTGGTCTCAGTAGAAACTCGCTGATGCATGCCAGCTCTCTTGTTCTGTGACAAAAGACACTGTCACTGGTGTCTTTCCTGACTCCCTCTTTCTTCTCTCATGATAGTTACTGGCACCATGCTTCAGTGTAGCACAGGTAAGAACTTTACATCCCTCCACCAGTGAGTTGCATCCTGCATCGGTCTGGTTAGACTATATTACATCCCGACTCAGCTCCTGATTGGTCAGCTCTATAGACTGGTTCTTCCCCAGGTAGAAACCAGGGACCCAGGCTCCCAGTACCTGGCAGTTTCCTTCCTCTAGATTCTCTAGCTCTCTCCACTTCTCCAGGGAATAGGGGTAGAGCTCAGAACACAGCCCAGATCATTCGGCCTGGAAGTAGAGAAAAAAAAAAATGAGACACTACTGTGTACACACAATGTCACACAAAGAAGCTCCCTAGGTTCGTACAGTTCTTACGGAACACATTATAAAATGATTCAGAGGCTAAAGTCACCATGGTGATTATTAGTGTTCCTTCAAATATTTGATCGATTGCTCAATATTCAAATAATTTTCAAAAGTCTTCTTATATCTCAGGTATCCTTCCACAGAGTTGAAGCAAGCACCCAAAAACATTTCCAGCCTAGATAAAATGGGAGGAGCTGAAATTGAAAGCATCATATATTTGATCTGTCAAATCCTGATCTGAGAAAAACTTTCATTCTAGAGACATATGTAGTAACTTTTGAGTCTATTTTGTCTTAATCAAGTGAGTTACGCTTTTGGTGAAACTCCTCCTGGTAACTCTATCTTTTCTAAACCTAGGCAACACTCAGCAACTGTGTGTGTGATAGACTTGGGGCTTAATTCATAAAAATCAGAGCTTATCAGACCAGAAGGACTCTCGGGTGTCACCGATGTCGAATCCTGTCTTTTGCATGCGATGTAGTAGTCCTGACAATTATATGAAAATAACCAGCCGGACGTGAAACAGCCGATGACGAAGACAGACGTGCGGTCTGTACGCGCTCTGAGAGTTTGGTCTGATGTCACCAAAGGCAGTTCTGTGCCCTAGCTGCTTATCTCCAATACATAATGAACTTTGTATTCCGTACTCGACAGTTATTAATTCCTCATTTTTACCTCGTAGCCAGGGAAACCTTAAGGCGTCCATATGACTCTCTTATTTTTATACATCTGAAAAAACACACAAGCTTCCTGGTGAACGCTTGTAGCACTCATCTCTAAGTGAAACAAACAAATGGTAATTTTAACTTCAAAGAGAAGGTTTGCCCAGCTGGACCCAGCTTTCTCTGCCCAGTTTCCAGAGGGACGGCCTTTCGGCATGTACTTTTGGCTTGTAGCCACTAGAGGGCAGAAAACGCTTTCCAAAGGGACACCAGGGCCTCCCGCTGTGCTTTCTATTAAACTCGCCAGAAATAAAAAACAAAAAAAAACAAAAAAAAAAAACCCTTGATCACTTGAAAGTCAAAGGTAACACAGAGTCTAAATTCTTCAGAAAAATCCATGGAATGTTTTTCTCCTTTGCCCTCAAGTATCTTTGTTTTTTGTTTGTGTTATTGTTTGTTTGGGATGAGTTTGGTTCAAACTGATTCATTTGAACTGTTAAAATGTGTGTGTGTGTGTGTGTGTGTGTGTGTGTGTGTGTGTGTGTGTGTGTGTGTGTGTGTGTGTGTGTGTTTCCTACAGAGACCCTCTTGGCTCATTCACATAAAATACCTCTGGAATCACCCCTCACCTAGGAACCCCATAAAGTCACAGTACCGGCGTGCATGGGTTATGAGACACCTCCTGGTGTTTTTCTTTCATTAGTCTTCTGACAGAAGAGTTTATCTACCTAAAGCCTCGATACCTTCCAGTCTAATCAAGTCAACTCTCTCAGAGCCCGGTTTTTATTGAGTACAAAAGTTAACTCAAACTTCTGCTTGCGCTTTCTTTGATGACTTTCCCCCTGGTTTGTACTCACAGTCCCGTCCAGCGTGAGTGGAGTGACAGTCAACAATTCTGGCCGGAATGATTACCTCAGCGTTTCCTGGCTGCCCGCGCCTGGAGAAGTGGATCACTACGTGGTGACCCTCTCCCACGACGGCAAGGTGGTTCAGTTCCTCGTCATTGCCAAATCCGTCAGCGAGTGTTCCTTCAGCTCCCTCACCCCAGGCCGCCTCTACAATGTGACCGTAACCACCAAGAGTGGCAATTATGCAAGTCACTCCTTCAGCGAAGAACGGACAGGTAAATATTATAAGGATATGAGGCTCCACAGAGACGGTGTGGCTCTGGGCAGCAAGGACTTGCCGTGGTCTGTTAACATCACAAAATTGCCCTGGAGTCTTTATATTTTGACTGAAGAGACTCCATAACTGAGTTGATGTTACATTTACAGGAAGACTTCTCTAGCTTTCATAGCTGAAATTCACATTATATTTAAATAGGATAACAAATATTTCTGTTTAAAGAGTGTTTTTTGGATCCTGGGATATGGGTTCACATACATTAACTAATTAATCCTTACTGAGATAGGCGTTATTATTATTCCCATTTTACAGATTAGGAAATCAAGTTTTAAGACGGTTAAGTCATGTGCCCAAAGGTTTGTTATTGTTGAGCAGCCAAGAAGTTTTAGCTCTTGGACTTAAACTTAGCTCTGTTCCATTCCAGAGCCTAAAAGTCTCTCGATTCTATAATCTTTCCCAAAATATGTGACAGTCAAGACTACTGTGTGTTCTTTGAACACAAGGTACAAATGTGACCCTTTATAGTTCCTAGACTAGGGAACAAAACTCTTAGCCGATGATCACCAGGTCTTTGATGTACTAGAAGGAACTAAATATAGAGAACCACCATTTTCAGATACATTGGAGCTTTCTGGGGTTTACATCTGAACTTTCTGCTTAAGGCTGACGTCAATATTCTGTCAAATCTTTCCCACTAGGCTCTGGGGTGACTCTTGCATATGAAACTGTTCTTTTTCATATAGGACAGTGATGTCACCCTGTTAGTGAGCTCAGATGCTAGGGCTGGACAGGAACTCGGTAGTTCCTGGTAGAGGAATCATCAGAATCAAGGTTTTCTACTTGGTGGCCCCTTAGGGAAACTCTAGAAACATAGTAACCCCTGAAGGTGTGAGGAGTGAAAAAGGGTCGGTAGTTTCTTTTTATGTTTATCTTTAGTATGTTTTAATTATGTGTATCTTCCTGTGGATGCTTGCAGGGGTTCATGGAATCTAGAAGAGGGTGCCACATGCCCTGGAGCTGGAGTTGTGGGTGGTGGTGAGCCAGCTGTGGTGGTTGCTGGGAACCAAACTCAGTTCATCTGTAAGAGCAGGAAGCACTCGAAACCACTTAGTAGGCACTGCCACCCATGAGTCTTTGAGGAGAAACGATATGGCTTTCTATCCAGGTCTCATGTCCAGACCTTGTGTCCTGTCTCTCCAATTAAGAAACACCTGTTTATACTGTTACAGAAAGCTTGCATGGAAATGATTCTTCCATCTTCTGATTTTGGAGATGATGAAAAATCCCAGAAGAAGAAGTGTGGCTTTTCCAAGGTCACATATCTGAACCGTGCCAGAGTCCAGGCATTATGTCGCACCATACTTAGAAGCACTAATCGGGAACAGAGATTATCACCACCCGTCAGAAAACCTAAGGTTTAATTATACTGATAATTACAATCACGACTTAGATCAGGAAAGCCGCTTTTTCACTTCCGGAGTAATCTTATGTCAGAGCACCACAGCGATCAACTCTAGGCCTAAAATTGACTAGAAATTAAGGCTAACTACTAACTACAGTTAGTCTACTAACTACTAACTTGTAAGTTGTAGGCTACTAACCTGCAACTTCCCACCCACCGCCGATTAGCATTCCCTGACCACATGACTCTAATATTGCAGCGACTTTTGCTAAGATCTTCCCAAATGTGAGAACACCTATTTTCTGCTCAAAGCAGGATCGTGACTCATTCACCAGCGTGAACTCGGATTTGGTACTCGGCTGACAGAGGCCAGTGACTCGTGTCTGAGGACTCGTGTCTGAGTTATTGTCCTGCTGATTTGGGATGAGTGTCTCAACAGTCTTTAACTTTGCTAACGATCTTCTTCATCGGGGCAAGCAGACCAATGTTTCTAACCCCGTGTCTCACATCCTCTCTCTGTACATTAAAGCGGGTCTCACAAATGACTTCTAGCTCCACCTGGAGAGGCCCCTTATTGGCTCAGCCCCACGATCGGCTACTTCTTCTTCTTCCTGCAGTAATTGCTTTGCCTTCAGGAAAATTGCTTAGATCACTGATCAGTCTCGGTCTGCACAGGCAGTGCCATTTCAGAATTCCCCTTCTCTGCGATGGCTAAATGCTAACTGAACTGTAATTGGTTTCAGGTAAAGCCCTGGTTTTGTCCCGGACCTGAGATTGCACCACATTCTAATATAAACCTGGTCCGTACATATAATCCGACAAGGGATATTAATACAGCCTGTGTAAAAGCCTCATGGGGAAATATAGTTTAGGTGCCAAAATGATGGAATTTCTGGCTGTTTTATGATTTGGGAGAAGGGAGAAAAGGGCATAGACTTGGCGCATGCCACACCAGACATCCTGTGACGTAAACCAAACTCCTACAGGCTTAGAGGTGTTCAAAAGAGCTAAAAAAGACAGCTAATTGGAGCAGGGGCTTAGTGCTCTGGATCAGGTATGCAGCTTGCTTGAGTGCTTCTTGCTGTGGGTATCCATGGCTGTCCTAGTCAGCTAGAATCAGACACTGTAGCTAGGAAGATGGCTCAGTCAATAAAATGACCACCACGCCAGCACGGGGACCTAAGTTTGGATCCCCAGCACCCACATAAAAGCCTGGCATGGTGACTCCCGTCTGTACCATTGGGCCTGGGCTGGGGGAAGACAGAGAGAGCGAGGAGGAGCTCACTGGCCAGGCAGCCTAGACAAACTGACAAGCTCTAAGTTTAGTTAGAAAACTGAGCTTCTCCCAGAAACTAAGGTGAAGAACCATCAAGGAAGATGTCAGTCTCTGGCCTCTATGTTTACATGCGTGCGCACGCGCATACACACACAGACACGCACACACACACACACATACATACACACCACATACACACCACACACACTCACACATACACACTCCATGTAATGTGTATATATACTCCACACACACACAAGAGAGAGAGAGAGAAAACTTGTAATTTAGCATTGAATCAAGATTCAGCCCTAAATTGAAACCCAGACCATCCTTAATATCAGAATCGCTTCATTTTGCAGTACTCCTAGTAAAAAGCATTTTCCTGCTCACAGAGAAGGAAAAATGTCAGCCCAGGGAGCCATTTGTTTACATATCTACTAGAAGGAGCCTCGGGTTTACAAAATAGCATTAGTCATAATTTTTGCTTCATAAAAGCATGCATCGGTTGACGCTTTGATTTTTCTAGGCATCTAGCTAGTAATTTTTACAAATTTAAAATAGCATGAGAAACTACTCCCTGACGTAAAGCTAGCTATGACTTTGGCTATGATCTGTGTCCAATCACATGGTGCACCGCTGACTAATCCATCCCACGACAGCCAACGTCTCAACTCATCGGGCTCATCTCTTCTGTGCACTGTTTGACTTATGTACAGTCCCACCGTAATAGGGTTTAAATTTCTCAGTTGCTTTAACATAAGAAGGTATTTTATACATGTAAAGTATATAATCTTTCAGGGACTTGAATTTTCAAAGTTATCGTTATGTTGCTCAGATTCACTCATGGTTCCTATTTTGATATTAAAAACAGGAGACCCAAATGACTGTGTTTTGACTTAATAAGAAATTAATGGTGAGAACTGTGTATGTAATATCTCGTTGTGTATGCACAAGAGTTCTTTACCTGACCTCTGTAGAAGGACAGGAAAGATGCCCCCTCTCATAACTGGCCATGTCTGTTTTCTATTTTGCCAAAGGAATGCAGAATATCATTGCATTGGGGTCAGAATTTGAGTTTCTTCAGTGACTAGTGACTCAGAACATCTCTTTATATAGGCACTCATACAGGTTTATATATGCACTCATACATGTTTATATATGTACTCATATATTTTATATATGCACTTATATATGCTTACATATGTACTCCTACTGTTTACATATGACTAGTATATTTTGCGTGTACCTGTTTATATGTGCACTAATGCATGTTTATATATGCACTCATACATGTTTATATGTGTACTCATACATGTTTATATATTTACTCATACATGTTTATATATGTATTCATACATGTTTAGATATACACTCATACATTTTATATATACATTCATACATGTTTATATGTGCACTAATGCATGTTTATATGTATACTCATGCATGTTTACATATGCACTGACACATATTTATATATGTACTCATACGTGTTTATATGTCTACTCATACATATTTATATATGCACTGATACATGTTTACATATGTAGTCATACATGTTTCTCTTTTTCCACTTTTCCTTTTGAGTTTTTTGTACTTTACTTGATAACTCGAGGAACCAAGGTGTGCTGTGATCATTAATGTCTGCATCATCTTTCCTATTAGGCACTAGTTATTATGGTTAATGTTCCACCTTATAAGATACATCTGTCATTTATTAGATTGGAATACATTCATGTTTTTTTTTCAAAGAAGCATTTTAAGTAACATAACCATCTTTCCCCTTTCTGGTGTATAGGTCTGAGATTTATCTTTTAAAGCATATGATAAAAACCAGTGACTTTGTTTTATTGCCTCGGGCATCTGTGTCATCTGTGATCAACTGTTCTCCTCGGGTCACTAAAGCTTTACTGGTTCTCTTTTCAGTGCCCGACAAGGTCCAGGGAATTAGTGTTAGCAACTCTGCCAGAAGTGACTACTTAAAGGTGTCCTGGGTACATGCCACTGGAGACTTTGACCACTATGAAGTCACCATCAAAAACAGAGACAGCTTCATTCAAACCAAAAGCATCCCCAAGTCAGAAAATGAGTGTATCTTTGTTCAGCTCGTCCCTGGACGCCTGTACAGCATCACTGTCAGTACAAAAAGTGGACAATATGAAGCCAGTGAACAAGGAACAGGGAGAACAAGTAAGTGGGGGGGGGGTGAAGGGCAGGTGGGTGACTGGACTCATGTAAACCCTGAGATTTTCTGTTCCCTGATTAGTCACTTATAGTCCCAATAGCTCTCACCTGGGGCTTACATCATTCAGCCAAGCAATGACATACAATTATAGAACATTTATTGGTAGATAAAAGCAAGTAAGCGAGGGAGGAAGGAAAACAAGCGTTTCATTTTTCTTCTCTGTCTTCTTACGTCAAGGCAACAAATCTCTAGACATCTTGTTTTATCTTCTGATTGGGATCATAACTCATTTTATAATTATATTCTCCCAACATGTAGCATGTAAGATTTATGTCAGGGAAAAACAATCACAATTTAAGTAGTCGCTTTCAGTTCTTCTCGTTTAATTATGCATGAAGCAACTCAACGTTTTGTAGGGGGAGAGATGTGTTTGGCAGTCCCTTGAGTGTGATTTATAGATTGTGTAGGTAAACTTGATCAGCCCCGTTCCTGAAATATCTTCTCCTTCCTCTCTCCAGTCCCAGAGCCTGTGAAGGATCTCATGCTTCTCAACAGGAGTACGGAGGATCTCCATGTGACTTGGTCAAGAGCCAATGGTGATGTCGATCAATACGAGGTTCAGCTGCTCTTCAATGACATGAAAGTCTTTCCTCCTATTTACCTTGTGAACACAGCAACTGAGTATCAGTTCACCGCACTCACACCGGGACGCCATTACAAAATCCTCGTCCTGACCATCAGTGGCGACGTCCAGCAGTCAGCCTTCATTGAAGGCCTCACGGGTAAATGGAAGCACTTTCTTGAGCCCGAGTAGACACAGTGCTGTGCTTGAGATGTTTGATAGTGCAAGCGTTTAGATCAAGACTCAGACAAATGAGAGACTGCAAGAAGCAGAAAGTTATCTAGATTGTGATAATGACATTGTCAAGGAAGGATTAATAAAAGTACTCAGAAGTAGCAAGGGACCTTTCAGAGAAGTAACATTGAATGGACAAGCCTAGCTGGGGCTTCTGGGGGACATAGATTGTATTAAATATTTGATACATAACTCTCCTGACGAGGAATCAGTTCTTTGTGATTCATTTAGGAGCTATTGCAATTATTTAATAATGCAAGTTGACAGCTTCTTTGGCTGGGGGCTGGGGGCATGGAGGGTGCGGGCATCCCTACAGCAGAGCATCTCTGCCCAGCTACCCAACCAACCCTATGACTTGTTCCTATTAACCACCACTGGTATTTTCTTCTTATGAAGAAATATATGGAGGTTAAATAGTTTCCCTATTATCACATAGCGAGTAAATACGAAAGCCAAGGCTTAGATAGAAACGGTCTAATGAGCCCTCATTGTGTGGCTAACCATATACGGCTACTGTCTTCATTTCTCTTCGTTGGCCTTGAATTTTCTTCCCTCAGCTTCTGTTTGGGTGGAAGAGTCAGGAAAAAAAATAGGCAACCTTCTTTCACATGCAATCTTTCAGTAAATGTTAATATGTTTAAAAGCACAACCTGGTAGGCATTAGGGATGGAACCCAAGGCCCTCCATGACAGGCAAGTGCTAGAACACTGAGCCACGCCCACAGCCGGCCTTAGAAAGTTTAGCCGAGGATTCCAACAGTTCATTTCTTAAGTGATGGGCTTAAGTTTCTTTTCTCTTTCAGTTCCCAGCACTGTCAAGAATATTCATGTCTCTGCCAACGGAGCCACAGACAGGCTGATGGTAACGTGGAGTCCTGGTGGCGGAGATGTTGACTCCTACGTGGTGTCTGCATTCAGACAGGGCGAGAAGGTTGACTCTCAGACTATCCCCAAGCACGTCTCAGAGCACACTTTCCACAGGCTAGAGGCCGGAGCCCAGTACAGGATCGCCATTGTTTCTGTCAGTGGGTCCCTGAGGAACCAGATCGATACACTCGGGCAGACAGGTGAGCACATAGCTTATATGATCAAGTTCCCCAGTTCTCTGCAGTGGAACAGAAGGGGCGTGGCTAACTGATGAAAATCTAATTTTAAATTACCTAAGCGTGTGCATTTCATGGCAGTTTCAAGAGCGCTTCTCACCTCTGCTTTGTATGTTTTTGTCTTAGTAGAGATTTAAAAAAATAATTAAATATGATTGGGAAAAAAATGTATACTTGCTAAAGGGCATTTTGAATTTTATATTTTTATTTATTTATTTATTTATTTTATTGGATACTTTATGTATTTACATTTAAGATGTTATCCCATTTCTCCATTTTCCCCCCCAGAAGCCCCCTATCCCATCTCCCTCCTCCTGCTTCTATGTGGGTGTGCCCCTACCCACCCACCCACCCACCCACTCCCACCTTCCAGCCCTTGAATTCCCCCACACTGGGGCATCCAGCCTTCATATGTCCAAGGACCTCCTCTCCTACCTATGTCCGACAAGGCCATCCTCCACTACATATACAACTAGAGCCATGGGTCCCTCCCTATGTGCACCCAGGCTCGTGGTTTAGACCCTGGGAGCTCTGGTTGGTTGATATTTTTGCTCTCCCCATGGGGCCACAAACCCCTTCAGTTCATTCAGTCTTCTCTCTAACTCCTCCATTGGGAACCCCATGATCAGTTCAATGGTTAGCTGTGAGCATCTACCTCTGTATGTGTCAGGCTCGGGCAGAGCCTCTCAGGAGACAGCTATACCAGGCTTCTGTCAGCATGCAGTTCCTGACATCCATAACAGCATCTGCCTTTGATGACTGCACATGGGATGGATATCCAGGTGGGGCAATCTCTGGACGGCCTCTCCTTTAGTTTGCGTTCCACACTTTGTCTTCATATTTGGTCCCATGAGTATTTTATTACTCATTCTAAGATCCACCAAAGCACCTACACTTTGGTCTTCCTTCTTCATGAGCTTCATGTGGTTTGTGAGTTAGTTGTATCCTGGGTATTGCGAGCTTTTGGGCTAATATCCACTTATCAGTGAGTACATACCATGTGTGTTCTTTTGTGACTGGGTTGCCTCATTCAGGATGATATTTTCCAGTTCTGTCCATTTGCCTAAGAATTTCATAAACTCATTGTTTTAGTCTTCAGAACTATGCACTCTTCAAAATTTCATTTCTTTCAAAATTATCTTTAGGGAAGGAACGTGTAGCTGTGCACTATGATTTTAGAGAAGTTTTCCTCAGTTGCGTACTTTGCCCTGAGTGGCCAAGCCTGAGTTTTCTTGCTTCTTTTGTTTCTTTGAAGTTCCAGCATCGGTCCAGGGAGTCATCGCGGACAATGCATACAGCAGTAACTCCTTAACAGTAAGTTGGCAGAAAGCCCTTGGCGTGGCAGAAAGATATGATATCCTGCTTCTAACTGAGAATGGGATTCTCTTGAGCAACACGTCAGAGCCAGCTACTGCAAAACAGCACAAATTTGAAGATCTAACACCAGGCAAGAAATACAAGATGCAGGTCCTTACTGTCAGCGGAGGTCTCTTTAGTAAAGAAGCCCAGGCTGAAGGCCGAACAGGTAAGTGACACAGTTTCCTGTCTTAGACCAGCTATCTCCTTTGTCTACTGTGGTGTAGACACCATAAGATGAGACAGAGGCCATGCTAGGAGAAGATGCTTAGCTCTTGACACTGCGGTCAAATTCACCCTGACTTCACACTGCCAAATGAGTCAGCCAGCCCAAATAGACTTTAGCCTGTTGGTTTGTCAATAAAATCGGCACTAGTAGTTAACTATGGCTGACTCTGACTTTGCTACAGATTCGACCATTGGAAACAGTGCAATTGTGTTAGCATACAGTCCTCAAAGTTAGAAACTGGAGCCAACGTAAGATGTCAGGTTACCACCTGACAACATATTTCACATGTTTTACAACCTATGCAAGCATATTTTCTAGGTTCTTCAGGGATAAATCCATCACCTGACTTTTTCATCTCCCTTGGTTCATAGTGTGGTCCAGCAATGGCATCATTTCAACCTCTGTATCTGTTTCTCTGATCTTTTGCTCCCTCCAACTTTTGAGGACTCTTGTGCCAGGGAGTCCCAACACAGCAGTTACCACTTGTCTTACCCCCCAGCCAGTTATCTGAGGGTCTAATGGGGAGCCAGTGCTGACGTTTTCTGCCTCTATAGTTCTCCGATGCTTCCTCATCTGTAACCCCCACCCCAAAACCAGCCAGGAAGAACTAAAATCAGCTCTTCTCAAACTATTCCAAACAAACCTGAAGCAGAAAGAATTCATCCAAGATCATTTTACAAGGGCAGCGCTACTCTGATACCAAAACCAGATAAGGATACAATAAAAAGAGATTATAGACTGATATCCCTAATGAGTACAGACTTGGAACTTCTCACCAGAACACTAGCAATTCTAACCGAGCAGTGTGCATACCAGACCATTCATTGTAATTGAGAGGATTTACCCCCTGGATGCTAGGATAGTTCAGCATATGCAAATCTGTATGTAGTATCTCCATAACATAAAAATTAAAAACTAAAAAATTTTTTTAAAAAGCATCCAAGACCATTCAAATGTCTTCATGATTTTTTTTTAAAGTGAACAAATTGGATCTGAAAGAAGCATAGAAACTGTATATAAGGAATATTTGGCCACCGTCATGTGGAATGAGAGGGAAGCAGAGAACTTTCCACTAAGATCTAGAACAGTGATTCGCAATCTCCCTGAAGCTCTGGCTAGCCAAGAGCCCACTATGTAGACCAGAATGGCTTCAGATCGTGGGCTTTTACCACAGCCTCCTAAGAGCTGAGATGCCAAGCGTGTACCACCATGCCCAGCAAAGGGTTCTCACAGAATTCAAATGGCCAATAAACTTATGGTGGGAAAAAAACCCCTCAGCTTTACTAGCCATCTGGAAAAAATGCTGGTCAAAACTCCCAGGCAAAACCCCAATGTATGCCATTTTTTTTAGGATGATTTGGGTTTTCCTGTTATTTTTCTTTCTCATATCCTTAAATCCAATTTCTAGCACCATTAGCTTTTCCCTGTCTGTCTGTCTGCTCTTCTTCCCTCTGCAATCTAATGATCCCCTATGAGCCCTGGGTTAGCACTCAGAAATGACCTTTTGATCTTTCATTTAATCAGTATCAGAAAAAAATACTTGGTTGCACAGGTCAAGTCATATCTTAGATCTTGGCTAGCCAGAGCTACATTAAAAAAAAAATCCTGTCTTGGGAACAAAAAAACAAGCACACAATAACTCTCACACAAATGCCAACTACACCCAACCTCCCCTGAAGAACTATCTAATCCTATCTTGTGTCTGTCTTAGATCTATATCGAAAGAGTATCTGTGATGGTAATTTCCCATTGTCTTCTTGTCCTCTTGTGGCCATTTTTAAACTATACATTTTTCAACATCAGTAATTTACAAATGTCTCATTTCTTTGTTTTGGGGGCTATGTGTTTTTGTTGTTTGTTGTGGGCAAGAAGTATTATTATTGATGGGTGTTCAATGGCAAAAGGATCTCGCAGCAGAAGCCCTCACAAGTAATGGGCATACCACTTGTCCTGAGCGCAAAGTATGGGCTTGTACTTGACCCCACGGGTACCAGGGATGAGCAGCTTCTCAGACACCATACATAGCTTCAGATCCGCAGGCCATAAACGTAATGAAACACTACTTCTTTGAAAGGTAGATCCGCTGCTAGTGGTGAAATTTGTGAGCGTGGCTCTCTGTTCTCCGTCACATGCTCCTTGTTCTTCCGTATGGTACACAGAGACTGTGATTTACAATATAAACTCTGGCTGGGATGCCCTAAGGCAGCAGTTCCCAACCTTCCTAATGCTGTGACCCTTTAATACAGTTCCTCATGCTGTGGTGACCCCCAACCATAAAATTATATTCGTTGCTACCTCATAACTGTAATATAATTTTGCTACTGTTGTGAATGGTAATGCAAACAATTCATATTCAGGAACCACTGCCACAAGTCTTCCCAAAAGCACATAAATATTTGTCTGGGCCACAGACTTGTAAAAATCGGAGACAGAAACATCAGCTGGAAAGGGCTGTCACCAAAGGCTGATAGGGGAATCCATACTAGGAAGCTGCTGTTCGCATCTATTGGAAGTCAACGTATCTTAAAGGCAAGGATGATGTGCTTGGGGTTGAATGTGTCCACAAAGGTTTTGATCCTGGGACATGTCAGGGTGACAAAATGCTGACCCATTCTTTTATTCCTTGACTCTTTCAGTCCCAGCAGCTGTCACCAATCTGAGGATCACAGAGAACTCCAGTAGACACTTGTCCTTCAGCTGGACTGCCTCAGAGGGTGAACTCAGCTGGTACAACATCTTCCTATACAACCCAGACAGAACTCTTCAGGAACGAGCTCAAGTTGACCCGCTAGTCCAGAGCTTCTCTTTCCAGAACTTGCTACAAGGCCGAATGTACAAGATGGTGATTGTTACTCACAGTGGGGAGCTGTCCAATGAGTCCTTTATATTTGGCAGAACAGGTAAGACCCAGGTCCAAACAGTAATGGATTGCAAGGGAGGTGTGACAGTATCCATTGGCTTAGCCTTCGTTGTTCTTCCTTCCCAGTTCTGTCTAGTGTGGAACTTTATATGAATGTGTGACCTTGAAACTTTGACCCTAACTCAGACTAGGTATGGGTTGCGTTTACTTATTCTAGTGGTTTCTGTTCCTTTGGCTCTTTTAGTTATCTGTTGGGGTTTGTGAAAACTTAACCCAGTTCCTCTACTTGCCAGCGAACTACTCAAAATAAGGTGGTAAACCATCATGGCTCTAGTCAAAGGGTGCCCAGAAACTTCCTACAAGGAATAGATTGAGGTCATGGCAGATTCCCAGAAAGTCAACTACAAATCTACAAATCTACAAATCTACAAATCTACAAATCTACAAATCTACAAATCTACAAATCACACACACACACACACACACACACACACACACACACACTTACACACACAAATGCATGTATGCGTGCTCAAACTGACCACTGTGTGTTGGAAACAGCTCTAGCTAAAATGAACAAGAGTTCCAGGAAAATAAGATACAGAAATCTCTTTGGGCTGTAAATAAGCTGTGAATAAGCTGAATTTTTCCAACTTCTTCATCATTTGAGAATTGCTTTTCAGTTCTTTGAGGTGTCTGGTACATGACTTTTGGGAAATGGGAATGACCAAGAAAGATAAGCTCCTGATCTTAGACAGCTTCATGATAGAGGAGAGAAGAGGGTTGGTGTCTTAGGGTTTCCATTGCTGAGAAGAGATACCATGACCAAGACAACTCTTAAAAGGGATAACATTTAATTGGGGTTGGCTAACAGGTTCAGAGGTTCAATCCATTATCATCATGGCAGGAAGTATGGCAGCATCCAGGCAGGAATGGTGCTGGAGAAGGAGTTGAGAGTCTGGCATCTTGATTAGAAAGCAGCCAGGAGAAGATTGACTCTTCCACACTGGGAGGAGCTTCAATGCCCACCCCCACAGTGACACACTTCCTTCAACAAGGCTACAAAGTCTTAACAGTACCACTCCCTATGGGCCAAGCATATTTAAAGCACCACAGTTGGGATAGAAGATTTTAAAGGGAGAGGACTTTGAAACACCTTAAATTCCATGAAATGAGCATGTCCAGACCATGGCTTAGTGGAACGGGACATTACTTTAAACAGAAGGTATTTCAGCTGAGACCAGAAGGTAAGAGGAAAAGTGTTAAGAAAGCACGCTAAGGACATTTGATGGAAAGTGACTACTTGTCCACCAAAGGAACTGAAAAGCAGCCATGACAACCTCCAATCGCAAACAGCATTGCCTAGGTCTTACGAATGTTATCATTATGCTTGGTCAGGAGAACTTGAAACATTAATTGAAAATGGGAGGTATGTGTACCCATAGTGGTACACACCTTCACCCCCAACACTCAGGAGGCTGAGTTTAAGGATTTGAGCTACATAGAAAGATTCCATATCAGAGGAGGGAAAAGAGTCTCCAACAAGTCCTCATTATTCAAAGAATACCACCTTAAATAAATACCTATGGAGCAGGTAGTGTTGTGTAGGGGAATTTCCTCTAGCTATTAGATTGGCTGATAAAGATGACAAGAAGCCAATCACTGGGCAAAGATAGGGAGGTGGGATCTTCCAAACAGAACAGGAAAAGAAGGGGAGAAGAGAAGGGTCTGATGAGATGGAGGCCAGGGAGAGACAAGATGGAGGGAGAAGGAAATGAAGATCGAGATGACACACTTGGCCTGGACAAGCCACAAGTAGCTAGGGACTCCATAGATGGGCGATAGGGTAGTGTAGGGTACATTTGCCCAATCTAGGTGTGCAGCTTGAATTTATATCAGTTGAGTTTTGTGTTCTAAGGTTGGAGATTTACCATTATAAATCTGGCTGATATATTATAAATCTCTAGTGTTATCATTTCGTGGGGCTAAGAATGTCCTGAATGACAGCTCCAGGCATTTCAGGAAAGACTGATTCGTTCAGCTTAGCAAGGGGAGAGAGCTAGCTTGGGAGCAGGTTTTGAGTGGCTTGGCAGCAGGCTGGCCCTGGGAACCAGGGCGAGATGGCCGATTGGAGCTGGCCATGGGGGTGGCCAAGACCGCAGATGCCAGCTATTAGCTGGATTTAGCATGGTTCATTTTTTTTAAAAACTACAAGCAGCAGTGTTATGACTGATTTATACCATAGTAGAAAGGGCTCTGAATGCTTCTTTTCCTAAATAGAAGTTATGTCCATACAGACTTTGACAAGAAAAAAAAAAAAACTGAGGCCCTAAAAGTAAATAGGGAAGAAAAGAGACTCAGAGTGGCTATAGGATGGTAGCTGTCAGAGAGGTCAGTCCGGCTAGAAGAAGCTGAAATCCTTTCAAGGATGTTCTAGAAGCTAACTGGCATACTGGTGCCTGGCATTAATAATTGCTGAATATTCCATTATGAAGAATTGCCACCTGCTTTGACTTATACTAGTTTGTATCCATTACTGCTCACATGAGCCCAGGGTGAGCAGTCTGAGCCATCAGCAAGAACCAAGCCCACGGTGCATGCAACTGAACCATGTGCCCGGCACAGCTCAGATTCTCACCTGTGGGTCACATGGGTTTGTCCCCGTATTGTTCTCAGCGTGAGTGTTTCTCCTTTCAGTTCCAGCTGCAGTGAACCATCTCAAAGGATCCAATCGGAACATGACAGACAGCCTTTGGTTCAGCTGGAGTCCAGCCTCTGGGGACTTTGACTTCTATGAGCTGATTCTCTACAATCCCAATGGCACGAAGAAGGAGAACTGGAAAGAGAAGGATGTGACAGAGTGGCGTTTTCAAGGTCTGGTTCCTGGAAGGAAGTACACCCTGCATGTGGTGACCCACAGTGGGGACCTCAGCAATAAAGTCACAGGGGAGGGCAGAACAGGTAAGAAGCCCAGTCGAGAGCGGGTGAAAAGTCACTTCTAAGGATGTATCTTAATTGTGAGTTTAATGATCAGATGGTTCAGGGGGTAAAGCACTTGATGCTGAAGCGTAAGGAGCTAAATTTAAATCCCCAGGACCCAAATAAAGTGGATCATGGAGGCATATCTATAATGCTAGTAGCCTCCTAAGGCATGATGGGAGTTGGGGGCATGGGAAGCTTCTGAGCCAGCCAGCCTGGCACACACAGGGACAGACAACAAAGAGACTCTGCCTCAATCATGGAAGAATGCAAAGATTGATACCCAAGGTTGTCCTCTGACCTTCACACATGTACCATGAGATATATACATGGGCTTGTGCTCTCTCTGTCTCTCTCTGTCTCTGTCTCTCTCTGTCTCTGTCTCTCTCTGTCTCTGTCTCTCTCTGTCTCTCTCTGTCTCTCTGTCTCTGTCTCTCTCTGTCTCTCTCTGTCTCTCTCTGTCTCTCTGTCTCTCTCTCTTTCTCTCTGTCTCTCTCTCTCTCTCATACACACACACACACACACACACAGAGAGAGAGAGAGAGAGAGAGAGAGAGAGAGAGAGAGGGGCATATGTCCACATAATGCACACACACCATGATGAGATGAACCAAGATATGCTTTGCATAAGAAGCGCTAGGTTCTTCAGTTTGCGCTGTCACTCACCTGCATGAAGCAAGGTGCATCATGGTGCATGTCAGCCTCTGTTTTCATATCTGGAAAATGGGGATAACGATACAGTCCATCATTGCACTGCTATAGACTAGTCTCTTCTATATGCTGCTACACCTTGGGTGCACACAGATATATCTGTATCCCACCTTGGAGCCAGTCTACAAGATGATCTAAAACTGGACAGCACTACGCTGAACTGCAGCCCTACTGTTTCCAAATATGGTGGGATATTTTCCTATACACGTAACCCATTTGGGGCACACTCACATACAGTAGCGCCTTGTAAAAAAACAAAAAAACAAAAAAACAAAACTATGGTTATGAGATGTTAAATAGTGCCTTATTCATGGTAGTTACTATAAAAGAAAGTATCTATATCTATCGTTATCGTGTTAAAGTGGATCTGATGTCACTGAATGTTCTGACCCTATGTTATGTCACAAATCTGATTGTATGATTTTTTTTTCCATTTTATTTTATGTATAGCCCCAAGTCCTCCCAGTCTTTTGTCATTCGCTGATGTTGCAAACACCTCCTTGGCCGTCACCTGGAAGGGACCCCCAGACTGGACAGACTACAATGACTTTGAGCTGCAGTGGCTCCCTGGAGATGCGCTCACTGTCTTCAACCCCTACAGCAGCAGAAAATCAGAAGGCCGCATTGTGTATGGGCTTCGCCCAGGGAGGTCCTATCAATTCAGCGTCAAGACTGTGAGCGGAGATTCGTGGAAAACCTACAGCAAACCAATTTCTGGGTCTGTGAGGACAAGTACGGCTTGTTTCTCTTATCTTGGGTTTCAGTCGGGATGAGAGGACCTTATTATTCCTACGGGGGTTGGGTTGAATCCATGATTTAATTTGAGATGGCGGGACTTGGATGCAGGTAGACATCTTCTTTGATTCTTTTCATTCATTCAGCTAACAACAATTCACTAACAACAATGCTCACCAAAAGAGTGATCTGTGTCATCATGGAGCTTGGGTGAAGAGTAGTACTATTGACAGTTGTATTTTGGATGTGAAAGGGAAGCAAATGTCACTGAATCCATGTCAGAGCCACGTCACCTAAAACAAGCAGGCTTCACGAAAGATGAAACATCTAAATTGAAACCTATAGAGAAGCAGAATTCACCAGGCAGATATGGAACAAGACATAGAGAATATAGAGAGAAAATAAAACACTAAGAGATGACGCTGGAGAGATGGCTCAGCGGCTAAGAGCACTGACTGCTCATCCAAAGGTCCTGAGTTCAATTCCCAGTAACCACCTGTTGGCTCACAAGCATCTGTAATGGGATCTGATGCCCTCTTCTGGTGTGTCTGAAGACAGCAACAGCATGCTCACATACATGCAATAAATAAATCTTTAAAAAAGAATATTTTTAAAAATTTGTTTAAAAAAAAAAACAAAAAACACTGAGAGACCACAGATATGTGGCAACCAAGGAGCAGAAGGAACCTTAACTGGGCACAGCTCAGGCATCAAGACAGCCTAGTCTAAACAGCTTATTTGCAGGGCTATCAATGAAGGATTTCAAAGTCAGGCTGTCCCATAGCCACAGAGATATCATAGGCATAGCCACATTTTAGAAAGTTACTCCAAGTAGACAGCAGAGACTATGTGGATAGGTTCTGTCTTGGTTTCCGTAGAAGAGACCGGAGAAAGGCGATGGAAGTTAGCACGTGGAGGAGGATTACGAGTCACTACAGTTCTTTCCTCTTCAGCCGAGTTCACATTTAGTGAGACTCCACCAGCCAGCGTTCCGGGTGGCTGTCAATGTTTTCCCCGTTCAGTCATGTAATTTACAATAACTATATACAAGGAGAGATTCTTGATTTCCTCCTGTGCAGGTGGAAAGTCACTTATCCAAAAGTATTGGTAAAGGCATCACTTTCAGGCTGGGGGCTTGCCTCGCCTTCTGTCCATCTGTATTCACGGGTACTTGTTTTTCAAAGCACATTAGTGATTTTCTAAGGAAACAGTACTTTTCGCTTTGAGTAGGGCTTTTATTGTGCTGTTTTGGGTTGACAGTGTTGAAGAGAGAACTGGTTTTATGGATGCTAAGCGAGTGCTAAACTGCCTAGCTACATCCCAGGCTGCATTTTTAACTGGGTCTTTACTTATTTTTACATTTACTTATTTTATCTATTTACTTTTGTGTGTGCTCTCATGAATATTCATGTGGTGCATGCCGAGGCAGACAAGCATGGGGAAGTCAGAGGGAAACTTGCAGAAGTTATCCATCTTTTTATAATCATGTAGATTCCAGGGATTGAACTCTGGTCACCAGGCTCGGTAGCAAGTACCTTTACCAGTTGAGACATCTCAGTGGTCCAATTTTAGGTGGGTTTTTTTGTTGGTTGGTTGGCTGGTTGATTTTTTTAGTTGTTTGGTTGTTTGGTTGTTTGGTTGTTTGGTTGTTTGGTTGTTTGTTTGTTTGGTTGGTTGGTTGGTTGGTTGGTTGGATTTTTCCTGACTCTCCTGGAACTTGCCCTACAGACAAGGCTGGCCTCAAACTCACAGATCCATTTGCCTCTGCCTCCTGAGCACTGGGATTAAAGGCGTGTACCACCACAGCCCGGCTTAAACTTTCTTTTTTCAACATGCAGTCTAAACAGCCAGAAAATCTCTATGACGCTCCTTAAAAATATTTCTCCCAGAAAGCAATGCAAGAAGTTGTGGGAACTGTCCCTTTGCATCTCAGACCGTTATCCTCAGAGATGCTGGAGGAAATGTCTTCCACACGGCTGAATCGTGTCTCTTCCCCTTTGCTCTCACAGAGCCAGACAAGATACAAAACCTGCATTGCCGCCCCCAGAACTCCACGGCCATTGCCTGCTCTTGGATACCACCTGACTCCGACTTTGATGGCTACAGCATTGAATGCCGAAAAATGGATACCCAAGAAATAGAGTTTTCCAGAAAGCTGGAGAAAGAAAAATCAGTGCTCAATATCATGATGCTGGTGCCTCATAAGAGGTACCTGGTGTCCATCAAGGTGCAGTCAGCTGGCGTGACCAGTGAGGTGGTTGAAGACAGCACCATCACCATGATAGACCGTAAGTGTTCCTTCCCAAAGGTCTGCGTGGGACCCCTGTCGCACAGGGTAGAGGACTTTGAATCTCTCTCAGTCATTTCCACCAATCTCATTCGCTTACACACAGTCCACGTGTGCACAAGCCTGTCTTGTTATTACTTGGAGAAGAGGTTCGAACAGCTCCAGGAAAATGGGGGCATTCTCCGGGTAAAGTTTTGCATTAACAAATGCGTCGATGTTAAAGTGTCTGGATGAGTCGAGATTTAAGTACACCACCTTGCCTGATCTAGTTAGCCTATAACTGGTGGAGCTTTTAAGCAATTTGATGCTACAACTCAGGAAATCCTGCAGAGGAGACGCCTCTTGCATTATGCTTAATGTGCCACTGGAAAATTGTTTCCTCTGCCTGCTTCCGTTCAGGAGAGGAGGGGGCTTTCTTCATGGAGGCTGAAATCACACATTTCCTAGGGCACAGAGGCAGAGATGACTACAAACCTTCACCTCTCTGACCTGTTTGGGAGGAGAAAGCACCCATGACCCTTCTTAGCACCTTCGCCTCTTTTCCAGGCCCTCCTCCACCGCCTCCACATATCCGTGTGAATGAAAAGGATGTGCTGATCAGTAAATCTTCCATCAACTTCACTGTCAACTGCAGCTGGTTCAGCGACACCAACGGAGCTGTTAAATACTTCGCGGTGGTGGTGAGAGAGGCTGACAGTAAGTCATGACGAGTTAACGAACTCGAAGACGTGGAATTGACTTCTTAAAGATCATGAAAGGGCTCCTTCAACGAGAAAGTTTGAAGAGTAGAGAATTAAATTCTTAATACTCAGTTCTGTTTCCGCTGGATATGGGAAGATAGTTATAAGCAAAATGGCCCCGAGGGACCTTTGGCAATGAACCTTGTTAACTTTAGGCACAATGATTAAGAACAAGGAGAATAATAAAAATTAATAATAATAATAATAACAAATAACTATTGAGTTGAACAGAGTTGCCCACACTTACAAACCCTGTGCTTAAGAAGCAAACCCATGGGGACAAGTGAGTCATAGGAAGAGTCACGGTGACTTGTCCCCTGAACCTTCACCCAGCCAATACCCAGTTCTGAAGATATCTGTATTCCCCCTGAACACCCACACTCCAGTGTCATTCCCCTCCCCACTTCCTGCCTTTCTGTGTTTATAACCCCTGTGTGAATTAATTATGATTTGAGGAAAAAAAATAAAAAAAAAGAAAAAAAGAAAAAAAAAGAAAAGTAAAAGATGGAAAATTCAAAAAAAAAAAAAAGAAGCAAACCCTGTGCTTAAGAAGCTGAGACAGGAGGACTACTATGAGTTCAAGACCACCCTATACTATGTAGTAAGATCTATTTTTTTTTAAAATGTAGAGGTCATTCATTTTTAGAGCCCTTATTATTTACCAAGCACAATTGGAAATACATCTTGATTACCCATCAATTTTCTTTACTCTCTTTCTCTCTTTTTTAATTCTGCCATTAGGTAGAAATATATCACAATACCTTTCATCTATCTCCCTTTATATGAAATACCCCCAACAGGTACATACTCCCAAACTATTCATCAATTCACCAAAATTCCCAAAAGCTTACAAGAGAGAAAAGATGTTCATTTGAACTACAACTACTTTATGGAAGTAGTTTTTCTGAGTTCCGTTTGCTTGATCTTGAGTTGCTTATTTTGGGTGACAGGATTTTTAGGTTATTGTTGTTGTTGTTTTGTTTGCCCGTTTGTTTTTTAATGTAGCTTGGTTTGGTCTTTCCCTCACTTTGTAGCCTAGGCTAACCTCAAACTCATGAGTCTCTTGCCTTAGTTTCTCCCCAGTGTTGGGATTGCACACACGTAATTACCATACCCAACTCTTAATTTTTAACAGTTTATTTCATTATGTAGTTTAGTAGAAAGTGCTTGGATGATCCAGTTTCCACAGACTGGACGAAGAACTGTCACACCATTGTACACATCTGAATTGTGACCTTTAGAGTTTATTACTGACACATTCTGTCAAAACACCTATAGGAGGTGCTGGGTTGGAGTTACATGTATTCAAGTATGTATTTGCTGTTTAGGTCTTAAGTTTCCAAAAGGAATGCCAGTGTGCACAGGGATATCGGTCTATTTCATCTTCCTTTTATTTCTCAGATTATTTGAGGTGATATATATATATATATATATATATATATATATATATATATATATATATGAATTTCCCTAAGCATCTTTGACAAATTTTTGAACCATTTGCGGGTAAAGAGGAGTTTTTTAAATATGGCAAACACTGGAACAATTTCTAGACTAAATGATATAATGATATTTTAGTTTCAGTGGGTATTTAACAGTCTGTGTGGTTTTACATCCTATTTAGTTGTACTAAATTGGTTATGCATAATTAATTAAATAATTTCAAGGGTCAATGATGCATCCCCGGTTTCCTCACACCCTGGAATTGGAGATAAATTTGCGAACCGTGAATAGACTTTAATTAGGCAGCAATGGAGATGGTGTGTTTCTACATGCATCTAGGGCAGTGACCAAAAATCTCACACTGGCAGAGTAGTCGACCCTGTGCTCCGTAGCCAAGAAGGTTTTTCTGTTACTGGTGTTCACAGAGTTGAGCGATGATCCCTTGGTACCCAATGGTAGCAATCCATTCCTGTACACTCATCCTAAATGCAATATTCATTTTTCAACTATTGCCAACAAAATAATATCTCCATTTCAGGAAAGGTCAATTAACAACAAAACCCAGCCAACTGCAGAAGGTCATATGTCATCTGGGACTTAACTACATTGGTCCAAAGGGGGCTCTACTAGCTAAAGAGCATGACAGAAGAGATGTAGAAAAGGAGGGACCCAGAGAACCTTCCGATAGGTGCTTCAGGGTTTCAGTAGGGTCCTTAGGAAGAGAGAGAAGTAAAGACGAACCAGAAGTCTCTGTCTGGAGCCTTCTGAATGGGAGCTCAGAATATAACATTGGGAGGACCTCAGTTATGGGAATTAATCTCTCCTGGCCCATTCCTTCTTTACCCACAATACCCTGTATCTTCCGCAGATACAGATAAATAAATGCCAACAAATCAGGAAAAAAAAATTTTTTTCTAAGATATATTCACTGGGAACAGATCTTACTGAGTAAAGTCCAAGATGCTAAAATCAACACACTTCTTGAAGGACATTAGAGACAGAATCCCATCTCTGTAATATGTTCCTAATTACACTTTTTTTCCCCATAAGCAGCATCAAAACTAATTCACAGTACCAAAACACTCAGCAGGCTGGGTGGACCAGGAGGGTGTTCTGGGAAGTGTGCAGAGTGAACAGACACATTTGAGCCAGGATCAAATTGTGCTCAAGATAAGAGAGCAGTAAGAAGACTCTGGATATGCTTGTCCTTAGGGGACAACCTCTCTGTCTTGGCACTTGATTTTTCTTATCTCTTCCCTGTCTCCCAGGTCATTTGAGGTTTTGCAACTACAATGAGTTGGACAAGGTAAAGGGATTATTAAGCAGCCTCACTCTCTTGGTGAAGAGTCAGCCTCTTCCAGGCTTTGGCACATGTTATCCTTTGATGTCATTGGTTGGTCTGATAGTCTAGGGAACTGGCTGGTCACGTGTGTAATTATGAAATTATTTATATGTATTTTAGAATAATGGTTTTGTAGCATCTTTTGAGATCTTGGAATCTGTATTATGGGATAACCAAAGAGAATGGATGAGCTTGTAGTTTTAGGAACCTAGCACTAAATTAACACATACGAGTGTACACGTGCTTGCACACACACACACACACACACACACATCTTTAACTGTGAGTTTTCTCCTGCAGGCATGGATGAGTTGAAACCAGAACAGCAGCATCCTCTCCCTTCCTACCTGGAGTACAGACACAATGCCTCCGTCCGTGTCTACCAGACGAATTATTTTGCCAGCAAATGTGCTGAAAGTCCTGACAGCAGTTCTAAAAGTTTTAACATTAAGCTTGGAGCCGAGATGGACAGCCTCGGTGGCAAATGTGATCCCAGTCAGCAAAAATTCTGTGATGGACCGCTGAAGCCACACACCGCCTACAGGTGAGGCGCACTGCTGTCGTTTGCTAGGGAGACGTGCGGCGGCGTTATGAGGTGTTCCTGCCTCCTAAGAATTCCTGTAGATTAATGGCCTGTGCGTCATGAGTACTCTATATTATAGAGAGTAATTTATAAAAGTTGGGCTCCTGCTTCCCTTCACAGGTGAAGTGCAAAGAGGGCTTTCAACATCGTACAAAAGACCCAATTCATTATGTGATGTGCTGGGGACTTTTAACAGATTGTTTTTAATCCTGCAACTACTTTACTGCTTAGGCATTTACCGAGTAATTTACGATGCTTACTGTTGTGAAATCTTCAAATAGACTGAGTTTAAGGAGAGACCCAAACAATACAAAGCACTATCGTACACTTATAATGAGACTGAAAATTATACTTACTCTCTCAAAGGTGCGTAAACACCAAAGTGCTCTGTGGTCCAGGCAGAACTCTTGAAGGGAAGCCCTGAATGAATGGAAACACCTGTTCCTCCCTCCGAGGGGGCAGATGAATGGAGCAGCTGTTTGCTGTTAGTCCAGCTAGCAGCAGGAATGTGTGGGGTTCTTCTTCTCCATTGTATTTCCAAAAGCAAATAGAGGCACCCCAGATAGCACCCTCAAGAGAAAGGTAACCAAAGTTCTCATCTTCCGTGATAAGGCCACAGACATCTGAATTTTTTTTCCTCAAGGAATGGACATTCCATGTTGGGTTTTATGGCAAATCTGATAATCCAGTCAACATGGCAGCCAGTCAGGTTCCCTGTGGCCAGTGTGCATCCTGGTTGATGAGGGTCAAGGTCTTACTGACTCTTTCATATTTTGAGTACCACTTCTGGGACCAAGTAGAATTTTCTTGGTGCCAATTCCCAAACCGTATTATCACACCTAAGAGAGTTCTTTGTCACACACACACACACACACACACACACACACACACACACCAGCGAAGGCAAACAGATGGTTTCCCTAAAACAAAAGACTTGTTTTGGGCAAGAACTCCATGTAACCACAAGGACTCTTCACAAGCTTGTTATTACCTCCAGGAATCTAACCGTCAGAAAAGCCTGTGGGTTTAACATAAAAGAAATCAGTAATACCTGATTGACCCGATACATGTTATACGTGTATACGTGTTAGGGGAGGCAAAAAGCCTAAACAAGAACAGAAACCAGGACCCTTCAAGCCTCCGTAAGAGTCAAGAGAACCTCAGCTTCTTGATTACTTGGGTTCAAAGAAACCGAGCAGAATCCTCTTACGAACTGTTCTCCTACAGAAGTGAACAGCTGGGACTGCATCTGTTCGGTAGCTTAGAGCAGTGGTTCTCAGCCTTCCTAACGCTGCCACCCTGTAATACAGTTCCTCACGCTGCGGTGACCCCCAACTACAAAATTCTTTCATCGCTACTTCATAACTGTAATGTTGCCACTGTTATGAACTGTAATGTAAACATCCGCGTTTTTCTGATGGTCTTTTTTGGAGGTCATGACCTACAGGTCGTAAACCATTCGCTTAGAGAAGGAGAGAACATAACTGGTAAAGTACCCCTCTTTGGCCAAAGAACTGCAGTGTCTGCTTTGGACACAGACGGTACTGATCCCCACGATCTCAAGCCCTTTTCCATTTTAACTAGTGCTTCTCATTCCCTGTTGTGAACTTCAGCAATTTCTGGACATAACATGTATCAGGTCAATTCTCAGCAAAGATCTTTAAGCTCAGCGTACGATTCCTTTCCTTATTAAACCAACAGCATTCACGTTTTAAACTCACGGGAGTTTCTCTTCGGTGTATGAGACCCGCTGGCACTACCACTCTGCATTTGGGAAATACTATAAATAAAAGTGAGGATTTCTTTAGCATAAACAACTGGGGTATTGCCCATGGCTCCTACCCCTCTAAGGAATTGCTTGCCCTCTTCACTGGACTTCGAGGGTTCAGTGTTACCAGGGAGACAGACATCTCATTGGTTACAGAACACCGCACCAAGTACTTGGCACAAAATTGTTTATCCAATGTTCATGGACAAAGAAGTGAGCCAAGCTGAACCCTGGAGAGTCTCACATTCCCCTGACTTTACCATCTCACGGCATATATGGGTGCTTTCGAGAACTCATAGTACATACGTTTGTTTCCTAGAATGCAATATTCTTGTATGGTTTTTTTTTTTTTATCCCAATATGGTTACTTCAGTCCTGTGGAGGACACTCTAGGCTAAGAGCAGTTGGTAAGGGGAGGTATAGCTTCTCAAAACACATGGAAGAGCCTATATGAAATAGCCTTATGTCATCAGAACTCTATCTTAATGATAATCACCATAGTGACACTTGATGTTGTCAGTGTTTTTGTATTTTAAAGAATTCTATGTTCATTGCTTATCAGTGGCACTCATTATCACTAAACACATTGTATCTATGGATTTACTGTCTTACTTCCTCCCTGGGATTAGGGTTTCTGGGATGATGGAGATTTAGATTTTGTTCCTGTTATTATCCCTGGCTCCTAAAAAAGGGGGGGAGGGAGGCTTGCATATTGTAAAGGTTTGATGAGTATTTGATGAGCAAATCAGTGAATGACTGTATGAACCCATGTCTGTCTGGTACCATAATTCATATTTCACTCTATATACAGAACAACCAGCTACCCACCCTCTTTCCCCTTGAACAGTCTACAGCCCATCCTACTATCCTTGGCTACCAATTTGCATTTAAATAAACTTTCCCCCCCCCCCCAGGATCAGCATCCGAGCTTTTACACAATTATTTGATGAGGACTTGAAAGAGTTCACAAAACCTCTCTATTCGGATACGTTCTTCTCTATGCCCATCACCACGGAGTCAGGTAAATCGAATACTTCCGCCTACTCGTGCCTTCTCCAGTCACCGTGTCACCTACAGGGGTCTTTAGTAGGGAGAGGTGGTGACTTGCCTGATGGTGGGGGGGAGATATTTATTTTCCCTTGGATTTTAATCTCCACGTGACCATGGATTGTGTGGATCAGAGAGATTATACCAGTTCTATAAAACAGGCTAGAAGGAGATTAATCTTTTAAAAAGATGGAAGTACACTATGTTTTTCCACTAAAAATTAAATCTTAAGGGAATAGAAAGCATCAATATTAAGAGCTTACATGGGGGGTGGGGGTGGGGGACAGAGCTGTGCCGTGTTCTCCTGTTGCACAGCAAAGGATGGCCGAGCCACACAGACCTTCCTATCTGCTTCTATCGAATATAGAGATAATCTCCTCCATCTCGGACCAAAGAGGGATCAGAAGCCAGATAAGAGGATTTAGAAGTCTTTGCCTGTGATTTATTGTTAAGTAGAGACCTCATAAACACGACTGTTTCCTGTCTGAACTATCAATACTCAACAAAAAACGTTTGTGTCGTTCAATAAAGGAAAGGGCTAAGCAAGTGTCCTTCAGTAAAGGCAAGCAAATATTCAAAGTCTACTCACAAGCGTATTCAAAAGAGAACAGTCGTGTTGAGTCGATGAGGAATGAAAGTCAATACGGAATAAACAGATCTAATGTCCGAGCGTCGAGAACACAAGACGGGCTACTCCACAAAACTAGACAGGAGAGGCAAACCCTAGGAAGGCTTCTCAAAGGAAACACAGGAGGAAAGCTGTGTGACTCTGATCTACGAAATGATTTCTTGGGTAAAATTTAAAAAAAAAAAAAAACACCATAAAAGAAGAAAAAAAAGATAAATGAGTGAGGTTCACCAAAATGAAAACCTTTTTATATTTGAAAAGACGGCACCGAACGCGTGAGAAGGATGACTCACGGGACACGAGGTTGCAAAATCATTAGTAGAACTCAATGATCTCTTACCTTGCAATTCAACGATAATGACAAATAACTCTGCCAGTTAAGAGCACTGGCTGCTCTTCCGGAGGATGTGGGTTCGAGTCCCAGCACCTATGTGGTGGCTCACAACCGTTTGTAGGGCTCTGACGTCCTCTTCTGGGCTCTTTAGGCATCAGGCATCTATGGTACTCATGCATACATGCAGGCAAAACACTCATACATGTAAAACAAAAACAAATCCTTAAAAATATTTGACAACAAAAATGAACAGAGGATTGTCTCAAAGAGGCTCAAGATGCTAAGAAACAAAGGAGATCGTGAGTCGTTAGGGAGGTGCAAGTCGGAACCACAGTAGACGCCATGCCTTGACCACTGACGGGCTGCGTAAGGATGCTGGGAGAAAGGAGACTCATGCATTGTTTGTGAGACCATAAAACAGGATAGCTGTCACTCAGAAAATGGTTTTGTAGCTCCTAAAAATCGTAAGCATATACTGTCATGTGACCCAACAGTTCAACTCCTAAGTATAGACGGAAGAGAAATGAAAACACCCCCTCCCCCACAGACTCTCATGTGAATGTTCATAGCAGCATCTTTCAAAGTTCTAAAGCAGTAGAAATAACTTGAATATACATCAATCGACTCGTAAACAAAGTATGCTGTGTTTAAATGTTTTTTAGCCATAAAAATGAAAAAAAATATGATGTGTTCATACAACAAGATGTTATTTAGCCATAAAAACTATTAATTCTTCATGTATGTGATTTGGATAAGCCTTGAATGCACTGTACTGAGTGAACAAAGCCAGTCACAAGAACGACCTATTTATGACTTAATTTCTATGTAATGTCCAGAGTAGCCACATCTACACACATGGAAAGTGAATTAGCTATGCCACAGCTAGGGAAAATGACTAATAGATATGAATTCTCTTTATTGGCTATTACAATGCTATCAAGTTGTTTGTGTTACTATGTATAAAATACTGTATATACTAAGAACCATTGAATCTTCTCGTTTAGATGGTGAGTTATATGGTATATTAATTATAATTCAATAAAACTGCTGCTTATCGGATGTGATGGTATGCATTTGTAATTCAAGGTACAAAGATGCTAGAATTGAGCCCAGGAATTCAAAATGCCAGTCCAGGTACCATAGCATGTGCTAGCTTATGCTCAGAATCAGAAAGAAGGGACTGGGCAGTGGTGGCACATGCCTTTAATCCCAGCACTTGGGAGGCAGAGGCAGGCGGATTTTTGAGTTTGAGGCCAGCCTGGTCTACAGAGTGAGTTCCAGGACAGCCAAGGCTATACAGAGAAACCTTGTCTCAAAAAACAAAAAAAAAAAAGAAAGAAAGAAAGAAGGAGAGATAGAGAGAGGGTGGAAGGAGAGAGAGGGGGGAGGGAGGGAAGAGGAAAGGAAGAAAGGAAAGAAAGGAGGAAAAATAAAGATAATGACAGTGAGCTTTTGTTAGAATAACTTATTGATTGACTAGATTTCCTAAAACCCCAGGGACCATGTAATTCTTCACAAGGAGGGCTAATAATAGTGTCACACACCTTTATGAGATATACATCATCAGCTCCCAAAGTTGATGAGCTTTTACTCTGGAACCAACCTGCCTGTAACAAGATGTAGGCAACCCTTCATCTCAGCTGCCCTTCTGGTGGTGACTACCTCACCGTGGGCTTCTGCACTATTAACAATGTTACTGTCCTAGCTGTCAAACTGGTTCCTCACCCTGCTCTCTCCTTTTGTTTGTTGCTTCCGACTGGGCTATTGCTCGCAGAGCCCTTGTTTGGAGTTATTGAAGGTGTGAGTGCTGGCCTGTTTCTAATTGGCATGCTGGTGGCCCTTGTTGCCTTCTTCATCTGCAGACAGAAAGCTAGGTAAGTACAGAGATGTCTTTAGTAATCAGGATCAGGAGTGTAGAGATGCTACTAAAAAAAAAAAAACACCCTTTCGGCTGAAAGGGGAAAACAGTTTTGTTTCTCCAGGTTAAATAGTCCTAGTCTCCTTAGTAAAAAAAAAAAAACAAAAAAAAAAACAAAAAACAAAAAACCAAGAGTCAGATTCTGAATTCACACCTCACAGCTCTGCAACTTTTCTACACACCAATGATGGACTCCTGACCAGGGTTGGGGGTGGGATGGAGGGGGTAGGAGTGGGGTTGGGGGAGTGGGAGGTAGGGTGGGGTGAGGCTCACCAATGAATGAGAGGCCATCCGAAGAGCTATTCAAATATGAAACAAAATCCGTTTGCACAGACAAAACAGTTGGGGTACGCGGCCTCTGTGAAGTCAGACATTGCTCCAAACCGCATGCCTGCACACTTTGCTAAGATGCCCCGGAAAGGACGGCTGACATGAGCATCTTGGGATTCCCTCGCCAGCCTAATTTCAGAAAGAACTAAAGAATGAGACAGCTAGCACACACTTCTCCCTGCCACGCCCTCTTAGGCCGCTGAGATTTTTTTCACTTTGAATTTCATTTCAGTCACATCTGGCATCTGAGGTCTTGTTTGGATTAAGGACTTTGTTAAAGGAAAGTTTTATTGGGTGTGGTATGTGATGATAGCCCGGAGACACGTTTCTGAGCCGGGAAAGATGCCTTTCAAGTTGTTCTCAGCTCCTTTGCCTCACCTCAAAGAGATGTTGACAGAGGGTAGTCTTCCACAGAATCTGAAGATTTCACCTTTGCACGAGCATGCACACAGCGTTACCATACATGGGGGAAGTTGTACAAGCCAAGTAACATAATTAGCATAAAGAAATGTGTGTCTTGTGTTTCAGCCACAGCAGGGAAAGACCATCTGCCCGTCTGAGCATTCGTAGGGATCGGCCTCTGTCTGTCCATTTGAATCTGGGCCAGAAAGGGTAAGTGTCGGAGTTTCTTTCACTGGGGTTTACTGAAAGATGGCATTCTGTGAGATTTGCTAACAAGGTCCCTCTTTCTTTTTTTGCCTGCCTCACAGCAATCGGAAGACTTCTTGGTAAGAGAGAACGTATTAATTAATCTGCTTTTGAAATACAACTCGGACTGGTGATAGCACTTTTCCCGTTTCTCCAGTAACTTCCTTTTCCTCTTGCTTTATTTTTAATTACAGCCCCATAAAGATAAATCAGTTTGAAGGGCATTTCATGAAGCTGCAGGCAGACTCCAACTACCTTCTATCCAAGGAATATGAGGTACGGCACAAGCCCAGTGAAGCTTTTGCTCCCCATCTGGAGAACACCCTCTTGAACGTTACCGTGAAATCACATTTGGGATGCTTAAGGTTTCTGCAGAGCACAAACTGTGTCTGAAATGGCTCCCTGGACAGCATCCCACCCATTCTCAGAGCCCAGTGTGAGCTCAAACCACACAGCAAACATGTACTTTCTGGATTAGCTGGTAGGACAGAATGAGCAAGTCTCAGTGCAGTGGTCTCAGTTCTCCAGCCTAGACGTTTGCTCATCTGGGAACAACATAGCTTGGACATGAGTACCCAGGCCTTGAACATGAGTCTCAGCTTTGCCACATGTGTGTCCTGGAGCATGGCATTTATCATTTTTAAGCCACCCCTGTAGGGTGGTATTAGGTGCACCTCCCATGTAAGGCTGGGAAAATGATCGGAGCCTATGCATACAGAATAGTTGGTGTTCTGTAAAATCTAACTCCTGTATATATTTATATATTAATATGTATCTCAAGCATTGTATGAGTCATCAAATATATATATATATATATATAT